ACCAGGGACCTGGCCCCAACCCAGACATGTGCCCTGACTGGGAATTGGACCAGGGACCCTTTGGTTAGGAGACGGGCACTCAGTCCACTGAGCCACACCAGCCAGGGCAATACATACTTTTAAAAAAATTATCCTTATCATAGATTAAATACATATTTGTTGTTTTAAAAGGTCCTATAACAGAAATATACAACAGAAATAGAAAGTCCTCCATAGCTCCATGTGCCACAGATAATTACTGCTGCCTTTACCAACTATGTATTTACATACATTTGCAGGTTATACTAAAAATAATGCTCACTAATATGAAACCTTTCTTGTTTTTACCCCTAACAACACATCTGCAATATTTTTCCTTAATTCTTCAAAGAGCCACTTCATGCTTTTGAATGACCATATCGTATGATCATAATCATGGACCTTACTATATGAACTAAGCCTATACCGGTATTTCTACCAGTAGACATTTGAGTGTTTCTACTGTATTGCTTTTATAAATGAATCTGCATGGAAGATATGTGTGTATGTTTCCTAGAACATTTGTGCAAGTATTTCAAAAGACAGATTCCTAGAAGTACCACTTCAGAGTCAAAGGAAACATGCATGTAAGCATTCTATTAACTTCTGCCAGAATCCAACAGAAAGGTAGTGCCGGCAACAAGGCCCTTCCCAGAATCCTGAGAGGGCTGATTTCCCACACCTGGACAGAACAGGCTCCCTTTTACCTGTCTTTTCCATTACCATCAATATGATAGGTTAAAAGTGGCAGTTCGTGCTCTGAATGTTAAAATTCTGATGGAGATTTGATATCCTGTTTTGTGTTTATTAACCACTTGTGTTTCCTCTCCTTTAAACTGGCACTTCATGTCTTTTGTGATGACAATATTGATCACGCCTCCACTGAAACTGTCTCCTCCTGTGAGTTCCTTTCTATCCTTTCCTGACCCATTTAATTCTCTAAAGATTCTTTCTGAGTCTTTTCCCCAGTTTCTCTTTCTGCATGACCCCTAGGTAAAACAAAAACAATAATTATAACAATTAACAGTTTATATAAGCTTACTTTGTGCCATACATTAATGAAAACCCTTAAAAATAGACTGTTATTTTTAGATGAAGGAAGACATAGGAAGTCTTGTTGTTAGTGGAAAAGCTCATATTTGAGCCCTGTTTTCATTCCAAATCATCATGTATATTCTCTCCAAAATAAGTATGTGTTCTCCAGAGTTCTTTCCTAAGCCTTCTTGTCTCACTTACACATACTCCACGGGTTTCTTACCCATTCCCCTAATTTCAGAATCCATCAGCCTATTAGACATTGCCAACCGGATGTATTGTGGGTCCTTAACACATCCAAAGTGGAAATCATTACCTTCCTCAGACCCCCTAGAAATCCTCCCAGATGATTTCTGGGAGGACTCCTCATGCCAGTACTCTTTCACGTCACAGCATTGCCATTCGCCCGGCTGCCCAAGCTAGAAACTTCACCACCACCTTTGATCCCTGCCTCTATGCCTCACCTAATTGGTTCCAAGGTCTTGCCACTACAGACTCCAAAATGTTTCTCAATCCATTCCTTCTAATATGGCTTCAGATAATTAAGACACTCAACGTCTCTCCCTTGAACCATTGTATCTGCCTCCTAACTCGTCTCCCTATTTCTAATATCTCCCTGGGTCCCATCGATCTTCCTCACTGTCGTCAAAGTTGTTCTAAAGCCAATAATTGATCATGTTGCACCCTGCTGAAAAGTCTTTGATAGTTGCCTTTTGTCTGCTGAATGAATAAACTCTAACTCATTGGCATGGCACATAAAACATTCCGTAATTTGACCCCAATTTCTTTCCAAACTTATTTCCAGCATGTTCCTACTCATGCATCTAAACGGCAGCCACCCAAGGCCACCTGCTTTAATTCAGGAATATCAAGCATCTCCAAGCCACTATGCTTTTGTTCATGCCACTTGAAATGCCCTCCTCCTCTGGCTTTCTTGCTACCCACTGATAGTCCACGTTTCTTGGAAGACCCAGCGCTCTGCCCCAAGCATACACATAGTTTCCACTCACGTTTCCAGGCTCACGATTTATTATTTGTCCCCTTTGTTTACATTTCTATTAAAGCTTTACTACAGACTCTGGTCATGTGTCTCTGTCTTCCTGAAAGGACTATATCATCAACATGCTATTATCCTAGTGCTTAGAAGAAGCTTGGTATGTAAATGATTAAAACTGAGTACATCTGTGATTTACGTAAAAATGAGGCTGAACCATATCAACGTTTACTTCCAATTCTGAGATTTTCTGTGCTATTTCTATACAATAAAATCTGATGGGAGGCCCTTGTACCTATCATTTACCCTTGGAATTAACTCCTATTTCAGGGGGCCAGTTCTGCTTTCCCTTCCTTGCAGAGGCTTCAAAAGCCCAGAGCCTGAGTCCAGCAAGCACTGTCACTGTTCCCAGAGGAGGTGGTGTAGAAGCGTGAGCCCCATCGGAAAACCAGCCGAGTTCCAGCACATCTGGGATGGATTATCCCAGGGAGATGCTGCAGCAAAAAGGACAATTCTTGTACTGGGTTTTCTTTTGCCTTTTTTTTTTTTTTTTTTTTTTTTTTTTTTTTGACATCGGGGCTTTGGCAGCTACTCCCAGGGCTTTGCTCAGCAGTTTTTGAGGAATGAGATATGGGCTTGTTTCAGAGAAAGAAAAGCCTTTTCTGACTCAAGTGCAGCGACAGCAGAGTCCTTCAAAAGGCTCTTCCTGTCCTGTATATGGATTTCTGTGGCACATCTAGGTCTCGCTGTCATTTACAGAGTGAACACTCCATCTCCAAGCACCGAAAGAACCTCATGCCACCTGGGCTCTGGATCGGGTTGTTTCAGTGCCTCCTGCTTTCTCCTCCTCCTATGAATCTTTTCAAATCACGGACATGGAACAAGGAACAGTAAATGACTGGAAGGAAAAGCAACTTGTGGCTACTGGGGGACATAGATTCACTGCAGCTGTTCTGAATGTTCGTTCTATCTATCTATCTATTTATTTTTTTATTTTTATTTTTTAATTTATTTTTTATGTTTTCTCTTTGTAAATACAAAGTCAGTAGAACTTTGTTCCAGCTTCAAGGAAACATCTTGCATTTCCTCCCTGAAATTACATGTTTTGTTCTTTTAGTTTCATTATTATTACCTTCTAAGCATACAATGTACTTTGGATCTGTTCGGCGATTCAAATTCTGAACCTGATTCTCAAACCCCAACCGCGGTCCCTGGTTCAGATGTTCTGACCCGTTGCCCTGAAAACAAAAGGCAGCGTGTGCCGCAGAGGAAGGGGACAGAAGGATGTTTTGCTAACTTTTCTTGAGCAAACACTCTGCCCGGCACTGCCCTGTGCAGGTTATATAGGTTATTTTATTTAAAACCCACGACGGCTCTGGGTGGTGTACTGTTACCTGCATGCTGGGCTGTGGAGAAGCCAGGGCATAAGGAGGTAAAGTGATTTACCTAAGGCCACATACGTAGCAAGTCGCAGAGGCAGGTTCGGATGACAGGGCTGACTCCAGGAATGTACACCCTTCACCCATTCCTCTTCATATAAAATAACAATAGTTGGGGTGATACACAGAAGCTTCTTCTTTCATTCCGACCTGCGACCCCCAGCATCTTGGGAAGATAATTTTTCTTATGCCAGCATCCACTGAGCATTTAAGATGTGCCAGACCCTGATCTGAGTGCTGTGTTATAGGTGGTCGCATCAATTCCCAGAACACCCACCGTTGAGGTAGGTACTGTTATCTGACTGATGAACAGGCAGAGGCTGAGAGGTGAAGTAAATGTGCCGAGGTCAGAGAATTGAATGTTCGAGCCTGATTTTAAATCCAGACTGTCTGCCTTCAGAGTGTGAGCTACACTCTGTACAGAGAGCACATCCTGGAGTTAGAGACCTGGGTTCAAACCCCAGCTCCGCCTCTTCTGGGGTAAGCCACCTTGACAAACCACACTCTTCAGTTTCCCCATAGGTAAAATGAGGTTCTGGAGAAGAGGCTGCTGTATTCTCCACATTGTTCTCTCATTCACCAAAGTCAGAATCCCTATTACATAGTGAAAGAAAGTGCATTTTTCAAATAGAATAGACCTTGGTTCAAATCTTACTACACTTACCAAATAGGTAATTTTAAACAAGATACTCAGACTTTTCTGAGTCTCATTTTCATCACCTGAATGTGCGAGATAAAAATACCCACCAAAACAGGGTTATTTATGGGTCAAATATATTGGGTTGGCCAAAAAGTCTGTTTAGTTTTTTCTGTAAAATAAAAGACACGTTTTTCATTTTCACCAATAACTTTATTGATTTGGATATTTTGAGTGTGCAGGCTACCTCCTGCTATTGGCTTCTAGTGACTAGAGGCCAGGGGTTCTGCTAAACATCTTCCAATGCATAAGACAGCCCCACGGCAAAGAATAATTTGGCCAAAATGTCAATAGTTCAAAGAAACTTCACAAACCACTTTTGACACATTTGATCAGTCACAGCACCTTCTCTATATACAGTACAAATCTTATTTTGCATTTCAGTTGCATTTTTACCTTCCTTGAAATAATAAAGCAAATACGCCGAAAAATGTCGCATATTTTCTTCCATCTTTAATATTTTAAAAATGCACAAAAATTCACCAATTGTGATTTTTTTTTTTTAAATGCACGCTGACAGGACAGCTGTCACAATACAATCTCACAAAATTGTTTCTCATGAAATTAAAGACAACTAACACTACTAGAGCCATCGCGCGGAAAAAACTAAATAAACTTTTGGCCAGCCCAGTAGTGTAGGTAAATATATAAAACACTGCCGGGGAACCGGAAGGAGTTCTCCACTGCAGTTATTGTCACTATCGTTATGACTATTGACTAAGAAAATACACACGGACACAGCCGAGCAGGCAGCGAGCAAAGCCGCCTGTGCGCCCCCAGGATGAGCGCTCTGGAGAGCGGCCGCAGAACCTCCTACCAGGGACCACCATGGTGGCACAGCAGCCGGTGTCCTGCTGGGCCTGCTTCAGGCGGGTGGCGTAGGAGGGCCGCGTGTAACCCTGTGCCCATGTGTCCCCTCTGTCTGCCTGGTGAGAAAGGGCCCGGCTGGGGGCCACCTCGAGCACTCTAGTCAGGGTCCTAACTCTCCCCCGACAAGGACGCCCCTGTTGGTTGGAGGGCCTCAGGGGAAAGCGCCTGGCCTTTTGGGGTCAAGGCTCCACGGCTAAGGGAATTGAGGTGAGTTTCTTTACAGACCAGCAGGCTCCCCACTGTCAAATGAGAGCCACTGCACTGGGTGTCTGTGAGGATTAAATACGGGATGAATAGGACCTAGCTTGGCTTAGGGATTTAGTGCACGCTCAACAGATTTTAATTCCTTTCTTTCTCAAAAGAGAATAGCTCAAAGCCAGCACCAATCTGAGATGAACAAACGGTAATGATATGCTAACATAAAGAAGGGAGCAAGTAGGCACAAAACACCTTCTTTGGTTTAAGTTCTAAACATTTATAAAAAATGGAATCTGAAGACGCTCTTTTATTACTAATTTTGGAGACAACTATACCCGCCCCCGCAACTTGCCTTATGTTTAAGGGACCTAGATTTTACTTATTCAGTGAGAAAAATAAGTTTAATGTATTCATTTACCTTGTATAAATCCACATTGTATCTATCGCAGACTCTCAGCTGAGACACTGTCTTATAGGGATCGGTTATGAAGCACAGCACTGAAGGGCCTACTCTAAGTACTAAGTATCACTACAGCAGACCCCTGGAACACGGGGCCCTGGGAGACTCCTGGAAACCTACTAGTCACCCCCAGCACAGGACTCAGCCAGACCCATTGTACAGGCTGGCGTTTTGCCTTACTAGCAAGAACATGGAGGTGAATCACGGTAACTGGGTGCATCTGGGAGAGAGTACAGTGGGGTCAGAACTCACCTCTGCACGAGGGCGAGGACATTCTTGGGTCTCTGCTTGCACTGTGCTCACTCCCACATCACAGCTTTGGGTCACCAGGCACTGCAAGCAAGTTGAGAAATGGTAGCAGGTTAAAGAGACAGCCAGCACCTTAATGATAAGGAATTGAGATGTGACAAATTGATGTTTCAAATGCCTGCGCTGTGTTCTCCCGGCTCCCTACTGAGGAAGAAAAGGAGTCTAACCGGAGGCTCAGATCCCCTCCAGCTGCCACGCGTCGCTGTGGGGAACCCAAGCCAGAGGGCCGCAGCCAGGGGTCTCTACCTCCATTTACATTTTGATGTACATGTGGGTGCAGTTTTCCTTATTTTGCCATGCATTTTTCACATTTACATATATGTAAGTAAAAACAAGAGAATTTTGTGTCCTAAAAATGCAAGTTTTTTCCCCTTATACTGTTTTCTTTTAAATTAATTTTATTGATAAAACCCAGTCCTTTGAAAAACTAAATAATTCCATCTGGTTAATATACCAACTTTTCCCTTCCTAACTGATGAACATGTAGGTTGTTTTCGATTTTTCGCAGTTGCAGTGAACAGCCTTACAGCACTTCCTTTTCAATTTTACCATAAATTTCGTATCAGTTTTCACCGTCACTCCCACCGGCCGTGAATGCACAGACCTGTCTACCCGCATTCTGCCAAGTGCTAGCTATTTTCAGATTTTTTAAATTTTCACATAGGATGGGTGAAAACTTGATCTCATTGTACTTTTGAAGCTGTATCAGTTTCAAAACATGTGACATCCTGCCAAATTACCTTTCAGAGCGTTTGTATCAAATTCATCTTATCAATCTTAACTGTTATCATTTTTTGAAGATTTGACAATTAGGTAGAAGAAAATGGGTGTATTTGTTTTACATTTCTCGATTATTGCTATGATTGAAACTTTTTTTCCATACGATTATTGGCCATTTGCATCCTTTATACAATGATTGGTCTTTTCTCCGCCGCGCCCCACCCTCACCCTTTGGCCTATTTTTCTATTGTAAAGTAAATGTAAATTTTACCTCCTTACATTTCGGACAATGATCCATTTTGAGTTGATGTTGGCATATGGTACGAGAGTGTATTTTATGTGGATACCAATTGCTCCAATATCGCTTTTTCCCATATTGAACTGCTTTTGTACTTTTATCAAAAATTAATTAGCCGTATTTACACTGGTCTATTTCTAGACTGTCTATTGTATTCCATGGAGTTGATCTCCGTATAACCCTTTACAGATACCAAACTCTCTTTATTACTGCTGCTTGTTTGTAAATCTTAAAATTAAGTGGCATGATTTCTCCAATTGTATTATTTTTCAAAATTGTTTTAGCTATTCTAGTTTATTTGCTTTTCCATATCAACTTTAGAGGCAGGTTATCCATATTTACAAACATTCTCTATATTTACAAACATTCCTACTGGGACTTTATAAATGTTTTAAATTCATAGATCGATTTTGGAAGAATTGACAACTTTACCATACTGAGTTCTCCAATTCATGAACACGGTGTTTCTCCTGGTATTTAGTTCATCTCTGATGTCTTTGATCAGGGTTTTGTAGTTTTCAGCACACAGATCCTGTACACATTTTCTTAGACTTACACCTAAGTGTTTCATTCAGGAGGAAAGGGCAAGCAGTATTTTTTTTTTAAATTTTGATTTCCAGTTATGATGGGTTTTTTGTGTGTTGACCTTGTACTGTGTGGTCTTGCCAAACTTAAACTCCCTTACCAGTTCTAGGAGTCTGACAGATTCCCTGGAATCTTTGACAGAGACAGTTGTGTGTCTGCCGATAGGGACCATTTTTATTTCTTCTCAGCTGTACATTGTCTTCTTGCCTACTGCACTGGCTAGGACTTCCAGTATTGTGTTCATTAAGAGCAGTGAGACTAACATCCTTGCCCTGTTCCTGATCGTAAGAGGAAAGCAGTCTTCCACCGTTAAGCCTGATGGTAGCTGTGGGTTTTTTACAACTGCCTTTTATCAGATTACGGAAGTTCCCTTAATTCATGAATGAATGCACACTTTTTCCTTTTTCCACATCAGTTGATAAGATTATGTGCTTTCCTTCTTTGGATTGTTAATTTGATAGAGTACATCAATTCACATTTGAACAATGAACCAGCTTGGCATCTCAAGGAAAAAAAATCTCACATGATCCTGGTGTATTATTCTTTTTTATGTAATATATTGCTATAAATTTTGTTGAGGATTTTTTTAGGTCAATGTGCATGAAGGATATTGGTCTATAGTTGTTTTTTGTTTTGTTTTGTTTTGTTTTCCTGTAATGTCTGTCCAGTTTTGGTATCAGAGTAAAGCTGGCCTCATAAAATGAATTGGGTACTGTTCCCTCTTCTTCAGATTTCTGGAAAAGATTATGTCGGATAGGTTTTAATCCTTCTTTAAATGTCAGATAAAATTACTCAGTGAAATCCTATGGATTTGGAGATTTCTTTTTTTCCCCCCTCTCTTTTATGTTATTTCTCTTTTATTTATTGGGCTTGAAGATTTCTTCCACAGAAGGTTAATTGCAAATTCTTTCTTTTTTATTTATTTATTTTTAATAATTAAGGGCCTATTCAGATTATCTGTTTTTCTTGATTGAGTTGTTTGTTTTTTGTTTATGTTCTTTTGTGACAAGCACAAGTTTTAGATCTTTTTATAACTAAATCCACCAATGTCTTTTTTTTCTGCTATGCCTTTGTGTGCTCAGAGAGTTCTTTCCTCCAATTTTTAATGTTAATACTTTTTATTCGAGTACTCTACTTTCTTCTGGCAAATTTACATTTTTCAGTTTTGATGTTAAAAGTGTTGATCCACCTGGAATTTAGTGAATGACATGAGGTGAAGCTTCAGCCCTCCCATAAGGTTGAAGTTCAGTATGCAAGGAAAAAAGGCAGCAGCCTTAGCGTCTCCCAACTCTACAAGCATAAATTTCTTCTCAAGAAAATTTTACATATTCACAAATAGTTTAAATTTGCTAAAACCATGAAGAACTATTTTTAAGAATTCAAATAAGTAGATGGAACACAAATGCTGCAAGTATACACATGGGAATTTTAAAAAGGAGCAAGTTGATTAGCTAGAAAACAGAATCAGGAAGCCTTCAGTAAACAGTTATGCTAAAATAAACAATAATCAAAACATCAGAATAACTTCTGAAAACTGAAAAAACAAAGTTTATTTAATGACACGGGGAAATACAAGAGTGAAAAAAGGATGAAAAACTTTCCCCATAACTCTTTCTTGCTTTTTCTCTTCCTCTCTCCTCTCTCTCTCTCATCTGATTGGAAAACAACATACAACAAAATAGATTACTTTTATAAGCAGAGACAAATCAACACTTTAAAAATGTTTAAATTACATTCTTCACAAATCCCAAACTCCTCCTAACAGACCACTGAATTCATTTGCGTCCACTAATTTCATCAGGCCGGCTGAGCATGGGCTAGTGGTCCTCCCTCACCAGTTCCTGCGTCTCTTCCCAAATCAACCCGCTTCCAAAAGGGTGCCCCTGCCTGAGAAACGGCTGCTGCAGGAAAATGAATGCATCGCTTCGCCTTCCTCTAAAACCCCCGGCACCTCATTGCTGAATATAGGTCAAGAAAATTCTAGTTGCTACAAACGTTCTGTCTTGTAAGCTAGGCAAGAAGAGTTCGGGAGATTGAGAGTGGAGGAGGAAGAGAGAAGGAGCCAATGTTTTTCTCTTTTGCCATGTGATTTTCTTATCAACAGATACAACACGGATCACATTCACAGCATGTGATCTGTGTCATGAACTCTACTGTGTTTTTTTAAAGAGTATATTTACTTTTAGAGAGGGGGAAGGGAGGGAGAAAAAGAGGGAGAAGAACAAGAGAAACATCCACTGGTTGCCTCTCGCACACCCCGAACCAGGGGCCCGGCCCACACCCCCTGCACGTGCCCTGACTGGGGATCCAGCGGCGACCTCTGGGTTGCAGGCCGGCGCTCACTCCACTGAGCCGCACCAGCCAGGGCTGAGCTATATGCTTTATGCAGGTGAATTTTTGCTGAGATTCTAAGGGAATAAAGGAAATGGAAATCACGATCTTATGGGTTTTGATATTCCAACTAACTTGGGGCTTGATTATCGTGCCTCAATTCATGTGTAAATGATTTTATACAAAATGGTATCTGTTCTTATCTTTCCATCACAGGCACAAATAGCTCCTTACAATCTGCCCATATTAATAGACAAACTCTTAGCCAATGTGCTTCCCTCCCATGACTGGGAAATGATGACAACTGCAAGGACACCTCTTCTACCTACCCACGTGCTGGGCCTCTCCAGACATGGCCGAAGTCGTGGCTGGTGACACCCTTGCCTCCGAGGTTTGGGGGCTGACTTCAGGGAACAAGGAAGCGCAGACAGAATGGGCCTGGATCAGAGGCTTAGTTAAGGTTGAGGAAGGGCTCTTGTGCGAATCTGGAGGGAAGTCGGGGTTAAACTGGAAATCAGCCCCACCCCTTGTTCTTTTGAGAAGCCCAGGCTTCCCGGGCCTGGGAACTGGGCCTGGGGCCAAACAAGGCCACCGGGCTGGGGCTGCAGCCAACCCCCAGCCTGCAGCAGATACCAGACGGCCTGCTCTGGTTCCCCCCCAGCGGCTTGAGCCGAGCAACTTCCTGGTAGAGGGACCAGATCCTATGCTCTGTCACCCTTTGCAGCAAGAATGTTGCCAGCTGCCATTTCAAGGTAAGCCAGAGCGCAGTTCCACCTGTGGGTGGCTCAGGAAGCTCCACAAGAAAAGAAACAGTGATGGAAAGTCAGAGAGAGGCCACTTGTTTTGCAGACACAAAACTGATTCTAAGAACTAAACAAGCTGGCCTCCATAGGCCGACCATCTCTGTGGCCGGCCTAAAACCCAGGCTTGCTGTAAACAAACACCAATTAACCTGCGTTTTTACCCACTGGGTTCCAGTGACCACCATTCATCAGGCCCATTAACATGCCGCTTGAAGTCTAGCTTTTAACAAGCAAATGGAAGAAATGGCTTCGAGCAATTCACAAGAGGGGATCATTTACTCATAAACACAAATTTTCTAAAATCAAGATAAAATTTTATTACCTCTGGCTCCCTCTCTTTTAGGCCTAAGAAAATTTTTGCTTTGTTTTGTTTGAGTTAGTTTATTCCTCCTTAGTTAAAAATGAGAAAGGATAGGAAAAACATTGTAAATGTTCCACCCCCAAGAGGGGGTGGTTAAGTAAATTATGGTATTGCCCAGTGAAATACTTCAGACATTAAAAATCACATTTTCTTTCTAGGCTAATACAGGGATAGATTCAAAGTGCTAAGTTTTAAAAGTTATAAAACTGTACTTAAAATATGATATTGACATACTATAATTGCTATGAACATTTTATACACACACACACATAGGTATATAATCTTCATAGCAGTTTATTTATGGGTGGTGATATCACAATTCACATTTATTTTCTTTTTCATATCTCACTGTCCTTCAAGTTTTCCAAAACAAAATGGGGAATTTAATTTTTTTTAATGAGAATAAGACAGTATTTCAATAAGGTTTATCTTTCTAGAGACAGCAAGGTACAAGGAGAGCATGCATAGTTCAGAGCTGGTTCTCACAGTTATTAGCTTTACGGTCAAACTCCAGGAGCCTGTATTTCCTTCCAAATAAAACAAGAATACCTAAATTCTGGTGAAGGTTGTTGTGAAGATTAGATTAAAAATTACATGTAATATCACCTAATATATAGTAGATACACAATCAATATTACTTTCCCCCTTACCTTCATCTTTATATTCCCAAGTTGCATTAAACTATATATGTATAAAATCATTTTATATAAAGCTCTTGCAACAGTTACAATTTATTTTAAACGGAAAGGTTTATCCTTTTCTGAAGATTAGGATTAACAATCAAAGGAACAGTGGCACATTTTATCTGATAATTCCTTACAAAAAATTTTTTTGGTTAACCAAACCACTAGTTCCCCTGACCATAGGAGCAGGCTCTATAGAATGACATTTGCTGGACTCTAATTTATGGCCTGTGGACTTGAGTCAACAGTTTGATTTAACTCTGGACATTTAAACGTCTCCCCACCATTTCCCATTTGAGTTGTAGATTCCCGGTTGTTTAGGGGAGGAAGGTGTGACTCATGTGTTTTACTTACCACTCAGTCATCTGTCCTACAGACTGCCCGGGGCTTACAGTTTTGGAAACACATCACTTTCAAGGAAGTGAAGATATCTGAAAAATCTAGGGAACAGTAAACCTTTCATTATTCTTTTTTTTCCATCTGATAATCTGATGGGCCCACTCACTACCTAAATATTCTGATTCTCAGAGGATCCCTAACTCCACTGCAAATCAGTTAAGCCTTGTTCTTGTTCTAGCGCGAACAAATTCCATACACTTTGTTTCCACATGGAACAGAACGTTCCTTTAAAAATGCCCATGCCGTGCCTCGCTCTCACGGGCCTCCAAGAAACTGCCTTCATTAAGTGCCTCCTCATCTTTTAAGGTGTCGCACTTAACGACAAAAGTAGGTAGCAAGTCGTAAAAAGACATAATTCTAGAATAAGTATGAGGGGCAGTATAAGGAAGCGTTAAGAGTCCGCGAGGTCAGATCATGGATCCCACACTTAGAGCTTCTCACCTCAGTTTGTTTAACCTCAGCTCCAGTTTCCTCGCCCTCCCTGGGATGAAAGAGCAGCCGTGCCGACCACCGCAGCGATGGTGCTCAGCCTCAAATGGGGGGTCCCCGTCAAGCCTAGGCCACGGCGTAAGCAGCTGGTACATACGAGCCTTTTTTATTATCATCTGAGTCTGTTTTCTGTTTGTTTTTCCCCCTTGAATAGTATTCCCCCTGTACAGAGAGCACAGAACAATCGTGCAGTTCCAGGCCTCGCTCCTATAAAAGCCTAAGCGTCCCTAGGCCCAGGTCTCGCTCTGAGGTGTGTAATCCACAAACACCTCCCGGTACAATTCTGTCGGCTCCTTCGTGGTCCTCCCCGCCTTCTGCAGCTGAAACGAGCTTCTGTGCCAATGACACAGTCCAGGAAAGTGCCAGGCCCACAGACTCCCTCACTGCCCAGCAAACAAAAGGGGCCCTTTGGGAAAACAAAGCAGTATTTCAAAATGGCACTTCACTATGCTCTCAATTTCCCGCACGTATACCTTGTCAAGAGGGGCACATTCTCTAGAGAAGGCACAGGGCCCTAGGCTGCTGTGGTGGCCACGTGAATCCAGGGCTGGGGTGGGTGGGGAGCACCCGGAAGTGCCACCGGAGACTGTCAGTTACACTGGATTTTCCTTAGAGGCGGGTCCCGTGCGACAGTTTCCAGTTTTCCCAAGTTGGCTCCTGTGAATGGTAAAGGGAGGAGCTAATTCCGCCGAAAGGGACTTTCTGGGCAATTCAGAAAGCCCAAGCAAAGTAGGTGTTTGGCAAGAGGCAAAGAGCAGGAAAGAAAATCCCCTTACTTCCCAAATATCCTGCTATTTCCCACATTTTCAACAGCCCCCTTGCTAAGGGCGTATCAGAGGAGAGCCACGTATGTATCAGATTCTGCAAGTTGGGCAACAAGCTGTAAAAGCAGAGAGGGGGCTGGTAGAGAGGACAGGGACTGGGACCACAGGGGCTCACGGGGACTCGGGAGTATTCATTCCTGAACAGGAAAGACCCGCGACGGGCTCCAGGGGGAGAGGCCACCCTGGGGCTGCCTACGGCCAAGCTTCCTGAGGAGGGGCACGTCCAACAGTCGCCCTCTGGGCAGGTGGAGAACTACTAGCTTTGTCTCCACGCCATTTCAGAAAAACTAATATGACCGAGAGTCTATTAAATCAGAGGTTTGGGGCAGCGTGTTACAGTCAGCGGAGGGGCTTTTAAAAATCACAATGAAGAGATGCACCCTAGACCTAGTAAATCGAAATCCCTGGGGTGGGACCCAAATAGTGCTCATTCTTGAAGCTCCCCGGGGGACTACCATGTGCAGACTAGTGTGACAAAAAATGCTTTAAATCACCACCCAGTCTCCTTCGTCCTGTACTAACACCACCGCACCCACGTCCTCACTGCTAACCCTGATTTTCTTGGGTACTCAGCGAAGAGCAGGACAGACTCAGAAAACTTTCAACTGGCGAGGGGAGGTGTCCCCAGCGAGACCCGCCCCCCCCACCCCCCGCCGCCGTGGTTCAACTGAGACCTCACAAGGACAGGCACAGGAGGAACATTGATTCCTTGATAGATGGAGACCAGAGGCTTTGGAGAGGCTGGATGGTGGAAAAGAGCTACAAGACCCTGCTTCCACCTCCCAGCCTCCTATGACCCACTGGCAGCGGAGGCCCCAGGCCCTAGTCACCGCCGCAGAGGCGAAGGGAGGTGTGTGGGATCTGCAGAGGCCAGGCCACCCCGAGAGCAGCAGAGCATGACCAGGGCCTCCAGGATTTCCTTTTCTCCCTTTTTCCCCTTGTCTGATGGCGTCTTCCCTTCCAGGTCAGCAGTGTGTCCTTGGTGGATGCAGCACATTTCCCGGCCTGTGCTAGGAGGCCCGGGGGATGTTGGAGAATGGATGGCAAGAAGAAAACCGTTAAAGAAGCAGGTCTCAGTCAAAGACATTCCTGCAAGGGGACAGGCGGGCAGTGTGTTTGTCGTATGGTCTCCAGTATTGGTGCCGCAAAATAGCGGTGCATCGAAACGACCTGGAACGCTAGTAGAGATTATAGAATCTTGGGCCCTCCCCAGACCTACTGAGTTGGAATCTCTAGAGGAACGGGATCCAGGAGTCTATATTTTAAATTATCTTCACAAGTACTTCTTATGCAACCATGCGAGCACTAGTTTGAGCCCTCTGAAAGTCACTGAGAGAGACAGGAGTGGAAACTAAGGAGCCCATTCCCACTTCTGCTGCTAATGCCATGTGACCTTTTCAACCCACAAAGTTTCTCCATCCTCCAACTGTAAAATGGCAACAATAATTACAGAAGGTGCCTTTTTACAAAACACATGGAGATAGTCCAGGAACAAACTAGGCTATGCCATGCAGTGCTATGTTTTGAGCTTTCTGAGAAAGGCATTCTGTAAATACAAGAGCTTATGAATACAATTACTTCCATCTGGAGATATTTTCAATCCAAAATGAGCTGGTGGTACTAATTGGCCACACACACACACACACACACACACACACAGAATCTAATTTCTAAATGCAGTGAGGCCCCTCACTAAGAAGACAAAGGGAAAGCCTAACCCCAGCTGGACAGAGCCTGTGGCCTGTTTCCCTTGTTTTCCAATGAAAGGCCGTGGTGTTTTGGGCACTTCCTTGAACTGCTGTTTGCCCAGATAACAGAGGTAGACTTAGGAATGTTCAGATTACAAGGCAGTCGCTCACCTTACAGCCGAACTCATGTCTAGTGGCCCCTGATGGGAACGGGGAGGCCTGGAGAAAAGAGAAAGGCCAGCCCAGAATGCCCCGTCCAGGCGCTGTCGTCCACGCCCCCGCGGACAGCCACGGCAGGCATCCACTCAGCTCGTTCTCTGCAGCACCCAGGGCTGGCAGACATCTTCCGCCTTGCCAGGTGGGCCCCTGTGCCCCGAACTCTTTCACCGCCAGCCTGTCGTCGCTCTCCCTGTGGCCCACGGGGCCTGCTTTCACAGGCGGGGCGCAGTCAGGGGCGGAAGGGGTGATGTGGAAGGCTGGCCTCGGATGCCTGCAGCCCTCCCGTGTTCCCGACGTGCAGGACCTCCTTGCGAGTTGCAACAGAAAGAACAAAGCTCCAGAAGAGCCCCAAAGGTGACCCAAGGAGCCAAGAAGTCTTCGTAGAGTGCTCAGAAGATGGCCGTTCTATGGGTCCCGGTTGAAGAGAGAAGCGGACTGCGTGGCGAAAGAGAAGGCCGTGTCTTACGTTCCCAGGTAACAGCGGCTCTCACACTGCACCGTGCATCACAGGCACCGGCTACAGATTCCTGGGTCCCCTTCCAGTAGCTACGGTTCCCAAGGCCTAAGGGGAGAGTCAAGGGTTCACATGTACAGTGAGCATCCCAGGTGATGATGGTGCAGGCCGTCTGAGAACCGCACTTAGAGAAAGGCTGAGTTAGTGAGATCTTTGTACACAGAATGAGATCCTTCTTGTATCTGAAGGGTCGGCAGGGTTCTAAGGGAGGGCAAATGAGGGGGGCTTTCCAGTTGGAGAACACAGCCTGAGGCCATACAGGCAGAATAAGCAAGTATAGCGTGTGTGTGCGTGCGCCCCGCACAGGTGGGGTGGAGTGGGGGTGGGGGCATGCGGGAGTGTCGGGGAAGGTGGAAGGGGGACCATTCCAACCGAAGAGGTTTGAATTCAAAGACAGATAAGGTGTGAGTTGGACAGGGAAAAGGGAGGCTTGGAGGCCAGGGGGAGGGGGCTGGATTTGCTCCGTTAGGTTACAGGGAGTTTCTGTAAGTCTTGAGGAAAGTGGCCACAGAAAACTGCCAGGGACACCAGACCAAGACAGGAAGGTAGGACACGGAGTCTTTTAACCAAGGAGGTTGTTTTCTACCAGCAGGCGGGCCTTTGGGAGTGTGTCAGTAACGGGCACAGGAACCAAAGGTGGACGCCTCCCTGGGTCTGTCGAAAGGGAAAAGGGAAACCGAGCCCCTGAATGGAAGACAAAGAGGAGGCGGCTCTGAGGCCCCACACCCCTGCCTCGCGCTGCCCCCCGAGAGCCCGGGGCTGCCGTGAGATCCCCGGGAGGAACACTTTTCCTCTCAGCTCAGCGGCTGAGTAATTACGCAGTTCCTTGTCTCCGCTAGGCCATACCCTGCTTTTTGGTTCCCCAGAGTTGGTGACCAATGGGCTTAAGCAAAGTGAATTAGGATCTTGATTTAAAACAGCTCATTAAACTTGAAAGTTGGCCATACAGGGAAAAACCACGCCTTTCCCCTTCCCAGAATCCACCCTGGTCTCCAAAGTGAGGTAGGTGCAAGCACCTCGTCAGGGGTGCCAAATGCCATTGTGTGTAGGGGAAAAAACAAAACTTTTCTGTTAGTTTTTTATCTTAACATTTTTGTTTTATATTTTTATGATTATTTGTGTTACCTAATCTATTAGTACCATTGTACATAATTTATAATAAATACACCTATACGGAGAGTGTTTGCTCAAATTATTTTTAGTGGTAAGGAAGCTAGTTCTCAAGAGTTTGGAGTCCACTGCTGTAGACAAATGTTTTCTAACCTTTTCATGTATGAAAGAGCCCTTTTTTATGCTCACAAAATATCTCACTTTGTCATAATGTTTTTATGGCATTTCCTACATGACAAAATTCATGATGACAAACGTGCTGCGAATCAGTAGCAGTAATACGGCGACATGAATGTGCTTTGCACTAATTTCAGGAACACCCTCGTCTACGGGAGAGCAACGCAGCATCTGTGCATGCGTGTGGGGCTCGTTGTACCTCTCCAGGGAGGATGCTCCCGGGTCGGTGACCTCACTCCCTAATCACCTCCCGCTCCACTGTCTGTGCCAAGATAAGTGACTTTCCTCTACTTCCCTCCCAGCCGAGGGCATGGCCTTCTTCTCCTTGCACCAACAGAGCAGCCATTCCCGAGGTCACAAGCAGGGTGGCAGCAACACCCGCTTCTGCAGCCTGGACTTCAGAAATTACAGGTGCATATTAATGAATGGCAGAAGGGGTCCAGGGACTGTCTGCCAATCATCTCGCTTTCATTTGGGATGTGAGTCCACCACTAATGTCTGTTTCTCCGACTCAGGCCAGACCGAGTGTGCGCAAAGCTACCCAGCCCTGGCAGGCTGTTACCGCCATCGCGGACCATCATCTGTGTTGAAGAAGGCAGCGTGCACAGCGCCTACAAGAACAGGGTGCAGGGCCAGACGTCCCGGGCACAGGTCCTGGCTCAGCCGCTGACTGCTCTACCCATGTGCCCCTGACAAGTAACCTGACCTATCTGTGCCTCCGTGTACTCACCTGCGAAGTGGTAATGATAAAACCTTCCATCATGGAGGGCTGTGGCAAGGATTAATTTCATTACTTCATGAAAAAGGATTAAACAGTGCCTGGCACGTGGGAATTAAATGAGTTTGAAAACATGCTATTATTAGTACCAGGGTCTATTCCTCTCAAGCGATTTATTGTATTTGTCCTCACCGTGGCCCTTTTTCGCGGAGCTGCTCAGCGTCCCTGGAAAAGACTGCATCCTCCGACGCAGACTCGCTTCAGATAGATACTGCGCTTCCTGCCGGGGGGGACCGCCTGGTTTTTATCATTCCCTGTTGCCTCCAAACCAGTTTTCTTTCCCAACTAAATGGAGAAGGCAGGGCTCCTGGCTTACGCTTTCCCCCCTGTATTTCACAACACTTGCAGCAGGGCCCTGACTACCTGGAAGGTTCCCAGTAACAACAGGCTAATTTATTGCTTCATTAATAATAAGCAAAATATCAGGAAGCTGCTTGTCCGTACTACTGCAGTCTCCTTCCTGAACGCTCAAAACAGGCCACCTCTAGGTGACAAGCCACCCTGCCAGTCCCTGCCTGCCCTTCTCTCAGCTGAGAAAGCACTGGGATCATTAGGGTGGTATCACCGGGTCCGCTGGCAACAGTTCCACTTCTCCTGTCCCTTACCCTAGGCCACCAACCGCCTTTTCCACCCCTGCTTTGCAAAGGCCTCCCGTTCCCTCCTGTTACTGACTCCTGAACCCCGTCCCATCAATTGACCATTTTTTAAAAAATCTTCAAACTCCCTAACTGGCTCCTTCCTTGCTGCCTAAAACCTTGCTGGGTCGCCTTCTCTTACAAAATCCTCGTCGGGTGACTTTGCGGCTGCCTCCAGCTGCCCTCCCGCTTTCCCTCGCCCTTGCCCCGCGTGGTCCGCGGCACACGCAGTCCGGTCTGCTTCCCCTCGCCCCCCGGGACCTGGCCCCTTCTGCTCCAGCCGTCCCGCAGCCACGCACTCCCACGGGCCCCAGAGGCCTCCTGCTCCGCGGATCCCGGCAGAGTTCCTCGTCCCCACTCGCAGCCGCACCGGACACCCTTCACCGCGGGCTTCTCCTCTCGGCCCTGGAGGGGCTGCACCAGCTCCTCCTTTGTAAATCCCCTCGACCTGATTCATGTCTAACTCCCTACAGGGCCTTGTTCCCTTCCCCTGGTATGTCCGCTCTCCAGGGTGTCTTTCAGTTTCTTCCGTTCTTTCTCTCTTCCCCTCTCAGAAGTTTTGTCAACTCCTGTAACTTCAACCGTGGCCTATGTGTTTACCAGGCCCCGTGTCCCCTGCCCCGCTCTGGCCTCCAGGGTCCCTCCGTGCTGTGAGCCTCCTCGGCTCCTCCCGAGTCCGGGTCCCAAGTGTCCAGCGCCGAGCAAAACCATGCTGGTGGATTTCTCTAGTGTCGTTCGAACCAACATATCAAGACCTGGACCCACAATTCCTCTCTCCAGTCCTCTTCCTTTCCTGACCTGCTTACCTCTGCAAACGGTGCCTTCCGGGGCCTGGAGCTTCATGCCCTGCTCTGGCCTCCCTTTCCCTCCACCCAAACCTCCCCCCTCCCCGAGTCTTTCTTGGTCATGATCATTTTTTAATAGGAGATACATTTCCATGGTTCAAAAGTTAGAATTATACAAAAAGGTCAATGTCAAGGTCTCACTCCCGGTCACTCTCTTTCACCACCAGTGCCCTCTAGGTAACTTTTCCTTTCTTTCTTGTGTCTCCTCCGGTGTTTCTTCCTGTGAATATAAATAAGGACATTCTCATTTCTCTCCCCCCTTTGCTTGCACAAAAACAGGCATGTTATAAACACCAGACTGCGTGGCACGTTCTCTTGCTTAACTATGAATCCAGCAGACCTTTCCCGAGCTGTATAGGGAGCTTCCCTGCGCTCTTTTTAAAGGCGCACATAGCCCGTTGCGTGGATCAGTCCCCTGGTAATGGGTACACTTGGTTGTTTCCAGTCTTTTACCGCCAGAAACAATGCTGCAAAGAATAATCTCATCCATGTGTTGTTTTATAAGTGTGTATTTAGGAAAGGATCCAAGAAGTGGGATTTCTGGCTTAACAGATAACTGTATCTGCCCATAATAGACTCAAATCCTTACCTTCTCTCTCACTCCCCCATCACTAGCCCCGTTTTATACCAGGTCACGGGGCTGGCTTCCCGTCCAGCTATCACTGCTGGGTCAGCTATTTATCCCCCTTTTAGGAGGTGCCCAATGGTCCTCCCTGCCTGCCAAATAAATAACAAAACCCTAAGCCTGTATTTAAACCCACCGAGGTCTGCCCAAAGTACACGCCTTCCCAGGTTCACTTCCCCTGTCCTAACCTCGGCCGGCCATGGCTGTCGACTGCTTTCTAAACACGCGCTGCACCTTCCTACCTCCACGCCTTTGCCAGGCCTTGCTTTTCACTGAAATGCCCGCCCTTCGGCCTCCCCAAATCCTGCTCATTTTCTAAGGGCCCTCGTGTATGGCACCGCCTTCTCCTGAATCTACCGCTTACCCCTCTGGCCAGAAAAGATTTCACCCAACTTCCCCCCTTTTTTTTTTCAGTTACATGGCAGTCCCTTGCCTTATGGCACCTTCTGTCACAGTTGTCTGTGGATAGCTCACCTTCCACGTCAGGGTGAATGTTTTCTGAAGGCAAAGACTGTGCCTTCTGCATCTTATACTGAGTTTCCCAAAGTGCTCTTCACAGAATGTCGCCTATGGAAGTCTCTCACTACATACTCGCCGGAAGGCTGTTTACTGAGCGAAGTCGGCCTCCGGGCTTGACCCCTGTTCCCCAGTGCTGGAGACATCCCATGGGGCAGTGGGCCGAGCAGGTCTGCGGGCTGCGCAGCACGCACTGGTGCAGCGAGGCACGAACCACAGAGGCGCGGGTCCCGCCTGCACAGGGGCTGGCTCGTAAATCCTGTCGGTCCTGAAGCCGTCTCAGGGCTAATGACAACAAAGCTAAGTGGAGCTCAGCAAGCACTTCATTCCTCTTGAAGGTTTGCAATTTTTCAAAGCTTTAGTTGTTTTAGTCCATGCACCACAGACTTTTAAAAAGGGGAAGAGAGTGGGTAAGGACTATATAACTAAAGGAAGAGGCACCAGACTATTCTCAATCAAGGTCATGATCATAATCTGCTGTAGAAAAACTCTAGGCTGGCCTTCAGAAAGCCACTGTTCTCTTAGGTGCGCGCTTCAGCTCATCAGGGAGGTGCTTTTCCCACCTAGAAAAAAAACACAAGCACACACAAAAACCCCTTCCTTTCCAGGAAAACCTTTTTGCTCTCCAAACTACTAGCCAAATGTGGTTCTTTATTCAGGAAGAACCGTGAATTAGGGAACAAAAGGATGGAGTCCCCGCCATCTTTTGGGACATGACCCGTTGACCTGTCTTGACTCAGCTTGGAATCTAACTGCAAAAGTAAAGCTCAGAGTCTATGCGTGGCTGTGCACAGAAAGGGCTGGTTTCAGAGATGAGCGCCAACTTCATCCCACACACCGACCTACCACAGCAGTCTCTGCAAACAAAGGCGGGCAGCCTCTGGCCTGCCCCAGGTTCAGACACGTGTCCCCTCAAACGCTCCGGCACCTTCCTCTCCAGTCAAGTTGCCATCACCTCCAGGATGAAATGAAGCAAAAGTCGCATAGACAGCGGCCCTCAATCTAGGCTCTCCCAGGGCCCACAGAGGGTACTTGGTGGTGCCAAACCAAGTGCCAATAACTTGCCAATGGCCACATCCATGGGTTCTCTTCAGCCTCCACCTCATTTGGCCTCTCTCTGCCCTCTGAATCTGCTGAAACCCCCCCTCCTGCCTTGGCTTCCACGACATGGCCCTTCCTGATTCCCCTGTTTCCTTCATTGTCTCTACTTCCGCCACCCGCTCCTGATGCTCTTATTCCCTGGTCTCCTGCCTCTTTCCCTCTCTTCCTACACAGGGTTTCTGATCAGGCTTATCCACTCCTGTGTGCTAATCTCCAGTTCCTATGTGCTAATCCCTTCCAAACTGACGTGTTTCCTGAGCTCTAGATCCGCTGTCCAGTTGTCTCCTGAGCAACCTGCCGTGGATGTTGCCTGGGTGCCTTGCACGGGCTGGCCAGCCTAACGGGAACTAAACTTGGCAGCTTCCTTCCCCTTCGCCCATCGGCCCGCCCTTCCTCCTCGGCTCTCTATTCCAGCTCACAGTCTAGGTCATGCCCTGTGCACGTTCAGCTCTTTTACAAACGTTACCAGTTCTCCATGGCATTGCTTCTGCATTGCAACTGCCAAGGCACGTGCCTCCATCCGCTGTCAACCGGGGGGATAACGGCCTTACTGGTTTTCACGGCTGCTTTTCCCACCAGTCAACCCACCCTCTCGTGTTTTTCATTTTACAACATAAGCTTCACTATGTCACCACGTCACTTACCACCTCGTAATGACTCCCCAAACGGCTCGATACCAGGGCCCAAATTAACTGTCCAGTCCCATCACCTGTCTGTCTAAGGTGTCTTCTGTTCTCCCTAACCTCTTGGATCCAGAGAATACCTACAATGTTCTATGTAAGGAGTTTCTTGCCTTCTCCTCAGAGCAACAAATGGAGGGCCAGCTTTCTACTTTCTGCTACTCCCCTCAAAATCTACGTAATCTATGCTCATCATTCAAAGACAGGATCCAGGTCACCTCCTCTGTGCAGCCTTCCCTGACTTTCTTCCCCAATGGCAGAACCACAGATCTGCCTTGTCTGTGTCCTCCGGAACTGTGTTCCTGCCTCTCATAGGGAACCGACTGTAAGACCCTGTGTGGTCCCACAGGGCAGGGACCACTAGTATTCTTGTAAGTATCCCCAGTGTCTAGCATGGTGCCATCAAACTTGCAACAAGAACTTGATAAATACTGAAGTGGCACGTTACTAAACTTGAGTTTTCACGAAGGTGGCAAGTCTGTGAGGAGATCAGCCTGGCTGAAATGGACCCCAAGTGAGGCGTAACACAGCCCCATTAAGAGGAAAACCTTGTTTTGCTGAGAGCCTTCCTGGCGTCCCTTACATCTCAGACAGACGGTTCCCTTCTCCCCTCAGCCATGCCAGCCTTCTCGCCGAGCACAACAGATGGGTTCTCGAGGCCTAAAGGGGCCTCACTGTGACTCACAGCATCGCTGTCCCCAAATCAAATACTAAATCAACCACTCACTGTCTTGCCACATCAGCCAGTGAATCTAGTTACATTTAAAACAGAAGCTCAAAAGGACTCAAGGAGCTCCATGAGGAACACATGCTCTGAGGTTAATAACTGAGAGTAAATTCAATTTTAACTTCAAAACTCTGATTTCTGCTATCTAGGCTCCTAGTGGCCTGGGTATGTTGCCTTCCTTTGCCTGCAGCCTTCAAATCTCTTCCTTCCTTAAATCACTTAACTGGCACGGTAACTCTGGCCTCACCTCAGGACTCAGGTCCACGGGAGAGACCGCCAGCGAGGACGCTGGAGGGCGCTGGAGGGTGACCCGCACTGCCGCAGCCTTGGGCAACCCTCCTGTCCCTCAGGGCTGCGAGCCCCGGGCTGGGCTACCTTGGACTCCTACTTGGGAAATCTGTCATTATCCAAACTGGCCACGGAGTTAGCAAGCCTTAAAACCCTCCCTGGCAAATGGTAAATGCCTTTCTAGAAGTGGTCATTCTAGCCTGTATTTATGAAATACTAATGGGCCCAACCAGGACGGATGTCCTTTGTGAGTACAGAGGTAAGTGTACGGATACGCCCATCAAGGGAGGGATCAGGTTCTGTCATCTGCCTCCGGAGTGCCTCTCAGCTTTTCCAAAGCCATCTGCAGACCATTTTTTCACACGTGTACTTTAACATCATTTTTTCCCCTTGGCCATGGTAGGTCAGAAAGTTCTCTGTTGATACATCGCCCTGTGCGGGCAGGCCCGTGACTGTGTCCTAATAATGAAGGTCATTGTCATGCTGCCTCAGGGCTCTTGGGTTGTGAACCCTCTTGCTAAACACTTGCTCTGAGGTCCTAGTTCCTGAGTCCTTGCCTCACTCTTAGAAATGCAAACCTGGACTCACTCCTGCTACCTGCCATTTCTGGTGCTTTCGTTTGCTGAGGATTCCACTGTAACCACGGCCTCTCACCCAGCTCCGGGCCAGGCCTGAGCCCAGACCTCCTGGCTACCCTTGCCCTCAGCCTTCAGCCTCACTGCCCTGGCCTTCTTGTTACCCAAAAGATATCATCCTGAAGCCTTTCAGGATACATCAAAAAGTGTTTTTTTAATTAAAGGTAATCAAAGAGGAACAGGAAGAATCTACCGTTAATATTTAGTTGAAAGCTAGGAGCACAAATGCTCCAAGGAGAAATGCACAGTGACCCATGTGTGGAACCGGGCGGGGCGGGGGCGGGGCGGGGGGCGGCTGGCTACCCAACTGTGGTATGCTCTGCTTTATTTCCTCCTGCTTATAAAGAAGTACAGCACTTTTGTGTGCTCCAATGTGCAGAGCTCCTCAAATCACAGGCATACTTTACATGGAAACTAAAATACAGTGGGTGTTTTGTTTTTCCATTTTTTTCCTTCATCAGCTGTTATTTCCTTTTGCAATTGGGCTAATTTCTCTCTGGGAAGAGATGTGCAGCCTGCGGTCCTCTCCTTGGCTTCGGGGTCGTCTTCTCTCTCTTCAGCTCCACCAGCAGGACACAACCTGTCCGCTGGCTGGTGTGCTGTAATCTCGATTTGCTCTCTCCTGCGTGTCCAAAGACAGACACAGGATCAGATTTGACCTTTGCATGTATCAGACAAGGTAAAATTGAAGGGTACAGCTCTCCCAACTAGAGGCTAAGGATATGATTTCTAACGTAAACTTGAAGGAATAAAAGCTAGGTTGTAAACCTAGCCCAGCGTTAGGACAGTATGCGGTGGTTCACATTAAACAGACTGGGTGGACCACCCACCTACATCAGAGCCACTGCTCTACCGCTTACTTAACCACATGACCCTAAACAATTTACTACTTGATTTCCTTCTCTAGAAATGAGGTCAATATGAATACCTACCTGATGAGGTTATGGGATTAATCAGATAATACTTATAAATCACTTAGCATGGTATCTGCTATATCACTCCTCTTTTAACATTAGCTATTATTTTGATTAGCTCCATGACTTGAAAGTGTTGAATTAGAAGATCCCAAAGATCCTTCGTGTTCTAAAATTCTTATCCAAACCAGGAAAAAAAAAAATAGGTATAATGAAATGAGGTAAAGGGAACTACTATTTTGAAGCTGGACTTCACATGTCCTCTTTCACATTAAAAGTTTCAACATGTAGTGCCCAACTAACGAAGGAGAATGTTGTCCCACCAGGGAGAGCGAGTCCAGGGTCAGAAGAGAAGTGACCTACTCAACTGTATTAGAAATAAACTTGTTGAGAAAGAGCCGAGCAGGTTGAAAATCTTGCCCTCTCTCCCCTTGCATCTCTCTCTCTCTCTCTCTCTCTCTCTCTCTCTCTCTCTCTCACACACACACACACACACACACACGTAGATCTCTGACTTCAATCCTAAACATAATTATGAATGGTAACTGAAATCATAAAAATAAAAGTTGAAAGAGTTAATCTTATACAATAAAACAGCTAACCATATCTTAACATTATGGGAAAAATGAATAATGTGATCCAGAAGAAATAGAAAACTGATCAATAACAAAAGTTTTAATTAATTATAATGAAGTTGCCCAAAGAAATCACCTTTGTATTCAGAATAGCTTTTAAGAATTCAACCATTGTGTAGTTTTAAAAATAAAATTTATCTTCCTTTCCCACTAATTATATAAGGAATAAATGTTCACTGTAAAAAAAAAAAAGGGAAGAAAGGAAAATTCATAAAGGAAAATAAATGTCCAGTGTAATCTTTTGCACCAGGTTTGAAAACGACGTTAATAGCCATCCAGAGGCCTGTTCTAACCTACCCAGAGGCATTCTGGGAAACCAGGTTTGCCTTTAGCAGGAGGCCCCAGAGCGTCAGGTCGGTGAGTGAGTGTGTTGTCGGCTCTGCGGTAGCGGCAGATGGAAGCGGAAGTCCCAGTGAGCACTATTGCTGACAGCCGGGATTTGGAGGGGGCCAGCTCGCATCTTCTTTCTACCAAGAATCACATGTGGGGTTGGCTTTGGAAGAAAAGGCTAAGAAGTCTGTTCCATTTTCCCTGTGTTGGATGCTATTAGCGTGGAAATGAAACTACCCAAGTACATGTATAACCCATACTAAATCCACAAATAGACTATGCACACTTGTGTGTGGAGAACCTGGAAGACAGAAATTAAAGACATTTGTCAAATTAAAACCTCTGAATTAAATATTTTCCCCCTAATTCTTACTCCAGGTTATCTCCCAAATCCTCCCCTCCCACCCACCCCCGCCTTTTTAAAATCCCCTTAAAGCCAGCCCATTTACAGCTCCTGAATCATCAAAACTAAGGCCGCCTACTCAAGTTTGATAATGTTTTTGCAGGTATGAGAGCAAGATGGATCCAAGCAATGCAATCAGCTCTCAGGTCCTAAATAAAGTATGGCCGGTATATCGGTTAATTCTCCTTTTCCACAGGCCTTCCCACTATTAAATAGGAGGTCTTAAGGAACTAAAACACGTGTCTATATTTGGGTTGCCATCGTTAGCTGATAGGGTAAATGGTTGAAACTCATGCCAAAAATTCTATTTATAATTATTTTTGAAATTCAACTCTCATGGCCCAAATCCAACCCAAACCGAATGCAGTTATTTATTGACCATTAACACCCACCAAGTCGCTCCCCATTTCACGGGGCAGAATGTCACTCATTCCCTCCTGATTCAGGCTCCAGAACATCTCCAATCCAAAAACCAGACGGAAGTGTCACTAATTTCTCTTGCTAATCTCTACTTTCAAACCGATGGTCAGGGCGAGGGAATTTGACTCCTCAAACACCTAAATTCTGTTCCTAGGAGGTTCAGCATGGCCCTGAAATATAACACCAAACTTGGGTCCCTCTCTCAAGTGCAAATCGCTTCCTTCTTTTCCGCAGGTGTTTCGCCGTAACTTCGCAAACCCGAAGGCCACATCCCGCTCTTTCTCAAGGTTCTTTGCTGCGGGCTGTGTCCGGGCCGCAAAGACTCGGGGCCGGGAAAAGCCAGCGAGGGACTTCCAGGAAAACGTCGCGGGGCGCGTCCGGCGGAGGTCGGAGGGAGCCCCGCCCCGGAACGAGCCTGCCCGGCTCCCGGGGCCGGCAGCTCAGCTTTCTCGAGCGGCGTCAGCGTCCTGGGGCTGGGCCGACTTTGCTGCGGGCGCCGCAAGGGCCCCTGGCAGAAGCGTGACGCGCTGCGAGGTCTCCCTTTACCTCGGCCCCCTGGGTTGCGGCTGCGGGGAAACCTGGGGTTGCCATGGGAACGGAACGCCGAGAACCCGCCGGCAGCGTCTGCGCTCGTAGCGCTGGCGACGCGGGACACTTCCGGCCTCGTGGAAACCCGGGCCGCCCTGGCCAACCGCCGTTCCCACCGCGCCCTCGGCTTTCCGGTCCCAGAGGGTGTGACCCTCGCGCCCTCAGGGTGGCTCTCGAACTCCCCCCGCCCCCCGCCCCGGCTGCGGTAGAATCGTCCGCTGTTGTTTTTCTCAAAGAGACTGCTCTTGGAGTAAAGATGCAGGTGTAGGAAATAAATCTCCCTCCTAGGGTGGCAAGGAGCGCTGGGTTCCAGGCCTTAAAGCTGCAACGCGCCGGGCTCTATTAGGCGACACCCTGCTCCACGCGTGCTCCCCTGCGCGCGCCGTGCACCCCAGCAGCTCTCCGAACGTTCTGGCTCTCTGGATCCGCGAGCAAAGGCTCAGACACAACTCGACAGTGCTAGTGCTGGCACCGCCTGCGTGTCTGGTGCCTCTCCGGTAAGACTTGAGCTATCTGTAGTTAGGAAAGCGAAGTGTGAGGATTGAACAGCGCAAGAAATGGACCACGACGCCTGCTAATGGTTAGCAGTGCATAGAGTATTTTCGAGGGGATAGATTGCATTTGGCAAACAGGATATAGCCCTAAGTTGTGCAGCCTTGTACCACCGCTCTTCAGGGGCCCTAAATACACACAGTGGTAACAACTCAGATCTGCAGAGGGAATCGTGGCCAGTACCCAAGTGAACATCACGGGCTCCAGCAACCTATTGTGTAAGTGTGTCGTCATTAACCCGACAATGAATTACGGCCTAGACCAGGCAAGCCGAAGCTGCTATGTCCCTCTTATTTTAAAAAAAAAAAAAAAGGCTCAGTAGAGAGAGAAGGAAAATATTTACTAGAAACTCGAAAGATGGTGTTTACATTTTTTAAAAGATTTTATTTTTAGAGAGGAAGGGAGGGAGAAAGAGGAAGAGGAACATCCGTGTGGGAAAGACATCCATTGGCTGCCTCCCATACACGCCTGGACAGGCGGAAACGCAGCCCAGGCATGTGGCCTGACCAGGAACCCAACCACCACCCTTGTCTTTGTGGGACTCAGGCGCAAACAACCAAGCCACCCTGTCAGGGCAAGATGATGTTTACATTTGGTGTTGGTTCTTTCCAGCACTAAGGTTGAAGTTTAATTGTTATTGATCCAATACAATCAAGATACCGTTTCTGAAATTAGGTTGGAGGAGTTATTTCAATGAGTTGCTTAAATATATCTTAAGTAAAACCCGGAAAACCTATCAGCTTACGGTTGAAATCTGTACCTCCACGTCCCTGAGCCAAAATTTTCAAAAGAGTCCATGAACTTTATCCTTTTCTAAAGAGAACTGTCAGCATAGAACAATAAAGAAAACAGTAAACTTGCCTTCAAGACGTCACAGTTCTGGTTTTCATCCTGGGTGGCCTGGGGCAAATCCCAGCCCACGGGTCCCCATTTTCTTGCCTATACAGTGACACTGTTTGTACCACTTGCTTTCTAAAGCCCTGCCCAGGTCCAGGATTCTGTGAGGGTAAACCGCAGGTTTTTGTGACTGTGAAAGTTACTTAACATGTATGGCAGTAAAAAAGGAAGAACGGGTTTCTGTTCTCTAACACATCCTTTACACTTTATTAAGCTGACCTTCGTCAAATTGGGAAGTTTTAATGTTCTGTCATTCTAGGAAATGCCTATGCGGTTGTTTGTAAGTACATTAAATGCCTGTCATTCTAAGAAATGGCTGCGTGGCTGCTTCCAAGCATATTAAATGCAACTTCTCTTTCCTGAACACGGGCTTGTGCGGAGCGTTGTGAAGTGCAGTGCCGGGACAATGAATTCCCATTCCCAAAGCTGATTTAATGAACTCTGACCAGAAGCATGTTGCCTGTATCTGTAAAATTAATTAGAATTCAAATTAAAAGAAGTTGAGTCTTCCAGTTCCAAATCTCTGTAGTTTTTCTTTCCTTGCCATCTTAACCCTGTCCCCAAATGTAAACCTTAATTATATTAGTAAATGTGCTTTAGGTTAGTTCTCTCACTCTGCAACACAATGTGAGTAATCGAGGTGGACATTGCTGGGTTTTATAGTGTGGTCACTCATACCCCCTCCCTTGATCCTGAGGTAGAAGAGGCAAGCATTGCCATTCCAAGTGTCAGACAGAGGAAACGTGTAGCGGGTACTTCTAGACTCTTCCAACCTCAAATCAAATGTGATCGTCTCCAAATTAATCCAACCCAAGGAACTGTGAAACTTGAAGAACAAGGAATTCCAAGTAAACTTTCTCTTAGACTGTGTAATTTCTTAAAACACATTTTCTGGCCTCTGGAGACAGGATTTGTGTGGGGTAACCACCTCTTTGGGAGCTTCCTGGGTGTAATCTGAAACCCACGCCCACACAAGGAGGCCAGCGAGAAACCAAAGGGGAAAAAAGGCAAATGGCTCCAGATCTGTAGGTGCAGGGTTCAGTAAGCAGGAGGTGCTTAAGGAGGCTTGTCTTGGGCAGCTGCAAGACCAGATGTCTGCCTCCACCCACCAAATCTTAAAAACTGATACAGAGGCCTGATCTGGTTCAGCTATATACAGTGGAGGCCTTAACAAGGCTTAGTCGCATACCCAGCGCAGATAGCCTCACCACCATGTTTTCATCTCAAGGCTGTCCTTGGAGCAGCCTCTGGGAGCAGAGAAGGTAAGTGTGATGCACCTTCCAAAGCAGGGGGCAGGGCAGGGGGAGGTGGGAGCGGCACGCAGCTCTGCGGCTCTCAGGTCGTCCTGGTGGTCACATCTTCTTGATGTGCAGGAATGTCTCCTTTCCTCCCTTTCACTCACCTCCACCTCTTGGGGATTTGCTCAAGGGAGCCTTTCCATCTGCTGGAACTCACGTTGATTGCTCCCTCAACCAGCTCCTATGGCCCACTATGGTGAGCATCATAGTTGAGCTCCTGTTCTTTCACAAATACGCCACACACACACATGCTTGACGTGCTCTGAGCGGGTGAACAGCAATCACTATTCTGAACGCCTGGGTCTGCTGCTTCTCGTAGCTCACTCTTGGCCCTGCAGTCTGCCTGTTAACTTTGCTCACAAAGCAACACCCCATCTTTGCTGGATAGTATTTCTGTTGCCCTCAGCACCCGACATGCCACAGCTGCATCACGTGCAGAAGGTTGTGCCTCAACATGTTCACAGAGCATTTTCCCCACACAGCATATCATGCGTTGATCTAAGATGGGTGGGTTTAATTATTAAAAGCTTTGGAGTCTATCTTAGGTGGATGTAAAGAAACAAATGGATGACCCTTAACCAATGCAAAGAAAAAGGCCATTTCTTCTTGCTGTGAGGATGCATGTACTCTTCTACTCTTTTGTTCTCGGCATTCCTGTATCGCATGTCAGAGAGTGTGAAAATGGACAATTTGAAAGTGATCCAAACAGTCCTCACACATATGCATAGACATTTATAGATAGGATAGTCAAATGCAACATTGTGAGGGCTGTAAAATACTGGGAGCAGATTAAATGCCCATCGATGAGGAACTAGTTAAATAAAATACAGCACGATCATACTATGAAATATTATGCAATGGTTAAAAAGAATGAGCCATGTGTACTGACAGAGAGCAGTCTCCAAGATATTTTAAGTAGAAAAATAATGGACCAGGAGAGTGTGTAAACTATGCTTCTATCTTTAAAGGGGAAGGTAAAATCCATGCCTCCATGTGTATTTAGACATAGAATGTCTCCAGTCACCCAAGTAAATGCTGGTGTTTGTAGAGAGCTGAACCCTGGATTGGAGATAAAAGCAACAACAGAGATGCAAAATGAAACAAAAGTTTATTTTTTTGCAATACCTTCAGCAAATTACAAAGGCAAACGGCTAAACTACAGCATATAACTTTTCAATATTTAACCAGAGTACTTGTAATAAATATGCATCCTGAAACAAGATAAAAGGCTACGCTCTGTCAAGCATCCTACAAAATTTCTCAAGTTTTATACTCTGCAGCATTTCGGTGGGGGAGCAGGAGGGGGTCGTTTTGTGTTAAGTGCTGTAACAAAAAGTCCTTTCACATTTCTTTGGAGCATTTTCGAAACTGCTGAACTACAAACAACTTAAGAAAAGAAACACCAAGCTTGAAAGCCATTTTTGCTTTGTTGTCACTGGTCATCATCCAACACAGCCAAGCACCCCTGAGCCCAGGCAGCCCTGCGGGACGCGGGCCCTGTCGGAGCAGGCCTACAGTTTAATTACATACTTTGCAGATGCCTGTATTCTGTTTACATCCCTCAGTAAGGTCAGTGTTGTAAGGGAAGTTGCAAGCAAGTTAGAAAACATTTTTAACCTGAAAGGAAAGTGAACAGAAATATTTCCCCCTTAAGACCTTTGCTATATGCACCATAAGGTTTACCATATCAGGATATGTAGCTTCGAAGTTGAAAAACTGACTGTGACTAACAGTTCTTCCGGAGATAATTTAGGGGCACTGGTGGAGCGGGGGCATTCACAATTACTCAATGGGTCAAAGAGCATTTACTATATTAAGAAATGTGCTACAGTTCTGAGGACACTGTGGCAGAAATGCGAGGGGGCTGGCAGCTCGTCCTGACTTTGGAATACGTAACTACCTTTTGCTATAGCTGAAAACTTTGAGGAAAAAGTTCTATTTCTAAAAAGTCTTAAGCACGGTTACCTAAAAAATATTTTGTTAATATAGTCTAATGTGAATTTCACTTAGTTAGGGATTTAGATATGAAAACATTTTTAAGAGCCAATAAAAATATTGTAGAGAAAAAACACTTAAAAAAATTGAGGTTAAGAACTATGAGGCATTTCTTTTGGCTGTAAACATGCAGTTTACCGTCCCTTGTTGAAACACAAATGTTTGGATTTCCTGAGCTTCACGGATAACGGCAGAAGGCAAGTTTGCATAGAAAATTTGCAATACCTCAACGATTTACTTAAAAACTTTTAAGGGCAATTTGCTTTTGTTTTTAAGCTTCGGATTTTAGTGGCTGGTGCTCATCAAGCTAAGATTGACAAGCCAGTGATGAGCTATATAAGGCAGATGGGGGAAAAAGATGGAATTAGGGTTTTCAAATCCACAGGATATCATGATAAAAGGGCGTAAGCATGCACCGCTAACTAGCGCCATAGTAATTTCGTTGGAAGTCAAATCACGTTTTGGGGATTGGAAACCAAAGGCAGAAAGAGCCCTGCTGTGCTCAACGGTACAGCCAGAGCGTAGGAACCAAAGCAGCATTTACTGGGCAGAGGTGTCAACATGTCACTCAGTGATGACGAAGCCGCGCAGCTGGTCGGGGACCGAGGAGGATGCCCACTTGCCAGCACCAGGGCCGGACTCCTGGGCGTGGCGGATCCCGGCTCCGGAATCAGCAAGGACGATGGCCCCTGTCATCTCTGCTGCTTTCAAGTCTCTTAGGCAGTTCTGGGGAGGACAGTCTTTTCCTGGGACCAGTCCCCCGAAAGAAGCCTTTGGAAAGGGAAGAACTAGACTAGGTCACGGTGCATGCCACAAACGAGAACAACGGCGGTGGTCGTCGATGACTCCGGGTCCGACACAGAGGTGGACAACAAGGGGCAGTGTCCTGCCAAGGAGTCCGTTCTACTTCTTCTGGGACTGGTTTTTACACATGGTAAGGATCTGCTTCAGTACTTTCTGGACATCTTCATCCATCTGGCCCTAGGAAGTTGAAACAAAAGGCATTCATTAGAACCTCAGTAAGTCCTGGACTGGCTCCCTGAGAGAATGAGATGGCTGGCTGGGATGAAGCCCGTGGCCCCTAATCTTCCAGGAATGAACGGCAGCCCTAGCAACGGCCACATTTCTGTAAGGCACTGGGTCACACAGGGCCCTGCCCTTTCCCCCGGAGCCGCAGCGGAAGGTTTCTGGGGTCCCAGCTGCAAACATGAGCCCAGTCAGCCAAACCACCAACAGTCACAGCGGTGACGCCGATGGCTCTGCCTAGAAAATAAAGACGGGGCTCCCGACTGTGATGGGGTAAGGGACCGGGGGAGGGACAGTAGCACATTCTCCTCCATTTTTCAACAAATGATGAGGCTGCTCCCGGCAAACAGGGCAGGGCTCCCAGCACAAAACCCAAAGCAAAGCAACAGGCATTTCAGAGCTGTCCAATGTAGGGGATTCTCCTCAAATTCTCATTAGTTCTACTAGTCGGATGATGGGACTCTGGGCCACATCAACTGCCCTAAGGAAGTATTTCCTTAGGATCCCAGTGGCTTCGCAGGGTGTTCCCCGTACCTGCACAGCATACAGAAGATGCATCCTGTAAACCGATATGACCTCCTGGTGTTGCTTCTTGCATTCCTGCAAAGGTACAGTTTGACTTGGTTACAGAGCTTTACAAAACAAAAACTGAGTTTACAAAACAAAAAAAAAAAACTGTGGTCAAATGTTTCCCAAGTGATTCTCACCATCAAATGCTCACACATAAAGCTTTTAAAACTGTTGTGAGCTCACTGGCTTGTGTATTTCTGAAGACTTGTCAATATTCTTAGGGGGGGAAACCTACCTATTTCCTATCTTGGTATGTAAACTCTAAAAGAAAATTCATGATTAAGTGTAATCGTAAGGGTCCTTAAAAGAGAGATCAAGGTCAAAGGTGGAAGGAGATGGGAGGACAGGACCACAGGCTAGAGTGATGTGCTTTCAAGATGGAGGCAGGGGCCATAAGCCAAGGAACTCCCGTGACCTCAAAAAGGTAGAAAAGGCAGCGAAATGGGTTTTCCCCTTGAGCCTCTAGCAAGACCCAGCCCTGCTGACATCTGGACTTTAGTCTAGGAAGCCTGACAACCTCCCGAACTTCAAGATAATGCATTTGCATTGTTCTAAACCAAGTTTGTGTTGCTCTGTTGCAAGAGTCATAGAAAACTAATACGGATTATGAGAGGACTTTCTGGGTGAAAAAAGGGAGGGGCCAAGAAACAGCTTCAGGTCTGTAGATACCCAACTAGCAGAGATCCTGGCCCTGGGAGAGGAAAAGCTCTTGCCACTGTCAGAGACGGTACGACTACTGCGGAAAAATGGAGAAGTGGGGGGGCGAACAAGAAGCCACTCCACTGGCCTGCCCATTCCTCCTCCTCAGAGATACATCCACCCCAGCTCGCAGCACATAAGGATTGGCAATCTGCCTAGCTCCTTCTTTTGCCCTCACCAAAGAAGCCCCCAGCCAGTTGCTCACTGAAGTACACACTCCTTTAGGCTGGGACTCTGTCTGTCCACGCCCCCCTGGCTGCCCGGCGGAGCAGGCCTGGCCCTCCACCCCGCAGCCGGCCGCAGAGCAAGCCCACTCACAGCCAGCTGCGTCTGGAGCTGCTTGACCTGCTGCTGCAGCCCGTCCAGCTGCTGACTCTGCCTCTTGGAGGAGCTCGCCGAGTAGGAGAGTTGTGACAGGCTGTTCAGCGCCTCCTTCAACTTGGTGATCTCCTTCGACATCTCATTTATCTAGTGGGAAAGGAGAACCATTATCAATAGACAGGAATGTGCCTGCAAAAGCGAAATTCCAGGTACCCCTAAGCCTTGACCATAGCCTCTGTTAGCCAATTAGGCTTGAGAATTTGGAACAATTCTTCTTTTACATTTTACGTTTCTTTTACAAAGGAAACCCATAAAATGAAGCCCATAAAATCAGACAACCCAACAAAGCCTTCTGAGGCCATTATATTCAAATAAGGGCCCATGATTAAAGACTGTGTTTTGATGTGTAAAGGTAACAAAAGCTACAACATTTATTTACTTTTTAAATTTTCTTAACAAAAACAGGATTTTCAGCATTCTTTATTTGGAGACAGCTGTATCTTGTTCAATATTGCTGACATGGGTGATCAGGAGTAAGCTCTAGAAACCACGAAATCTCCGGACATCTTGCTTTAAAGTAAACACAATTCCTCTCTCCACCTCCCGACCTCTTGCCCTCGGCTTTGGAAGCTCTTTTTGAAGCATTCATTATAATGAAGGAATAAATGATTAACTGTGCTCTAGTGAATGCCATTCAGAACACCTGACCCAGAGGACTGGGATGCAGAGCAGATTCGGGCACAGAACCATCTTCACTCCCCCCTCCTCACGGTGCAGCCAGTCCATCTCTAATCACTTTCACCCCACGTTCCTGCCCCCGCCCCATATGCCTTTGACGATGAGGGCCAGGAGAGGCGGTTTTTATACTGACTCGGGAAAGTCCATGGAGCTTAGGGAAGCAGGGTTAAGTCTGGAAGTGTTTGGGTTCCCATATGACAGAGGAATCTGTCTGGATTCCAAGAGCTCAAGTTCAAGATTGGTCACAAACACTTTCCAGTTTGTGGCTTTACTTCTGATCCCTGACACTTGGCAGAGCTTCTGTAAAATAATTTTTAAAGAAAAAATATGCACCATATTTGTGAAAATGCTTTAGGATAAGGGAAGTGCTTAAAAAAAAATGTCTAGCAAGTCCTGGCCGGGTAGCTGAGTTAGAGAACTGTCTGGATCCACCAAGACTGTGGGTTCGATCCCTGATCAGGACTCATGCAAGAATTAACCAATGAATGCATAAATAAGTAGAACAATAAATCAATGCTTCTCTCTCTCCTGCACCACCTTCCTCTCTTCAAAATTCAATAAATAAAAAATAAATGTCCAATCTACTATTCTAATGTGACTCTGGGGATAGAGGGATTCACGTGCTGAGCCTCTGAGCACTCACACAACTTAGTGCGAATAAATGCTAAAAATGTTAACTATAGTAAAGGCGGAAAGTCCCAGGGCTTACTGGCTGCAACTCCACAGTGATGGAACCTCACCAACCTTCTTGTCTTTGTCCTCCTCTAGTTTTGAAGAGCTCTCCGAACATCTCTTCATTTCTGCAAGCTCTTCCTGAGCATGCTGGAACTTCTGCAGAAGTTCATTTACTTCTTGCTCTTTGGATTTCAAGAGAGTCTGGATAGTTTCTTTTTCCCTTTTCAGTTGAGAGACCTCGCTTCTAATCTGGGCAAGCTCTGAATGGGCTCTCTCTTTCTCTTTTACGGAATCCTTTAATTTGGACGCCAACACGCTCACTTCACTTTCTAATGACAACTGGAGCTTTTCGTAGGCAGACCTGGGCACCATCGCCTCGGTCATCGCCGCCTTCTCTTCTACAAGCTGCTTCTCCAGTCTGGACACTTCTGCTTCCTTGCTGGCAAGGTGCTCTTTAAGGGTGCCGATTCTCCCCTCCATCTCTTTGGCGGTCGTCCGCAGCGTGGTTATCACCTGCAAATGTTCTGTGATGGAGACTGAGTTCTCCTTCTGGGCATCTACCAGCTGTTTGAGCTGAGCCAACTCATTCAACACTTTTGAGTACTGAGACTTCATTTCAGACAACGCCTCTTCTGCTTTGGCCCTAGACATGTTGGTCACCTGCATCAGTTTCTCATGCTCTGCTTTATGGATATAGTCAGCTGTGACGTCTTCCAGAGATTTCCTTTTCCTGTAATCCTCCAGCTCGGCCTGGGCTTCTTTGTACAGCTGGGACAGCTCGCTCACCTGTTTGTTGAGTTCATCTATCATCCTGTTCATGGCCTCTTTCATGTCTTCGGCGTCATCGCCTGCCTCCTGAGTCATCTGACTTTTTAGTGTATCTTTTAGTTTCATGATTTCTTCTTGGGCCTCTTGGTATTTCTCTAACAAAAATGCTTTCTCCTTATTCATACTCTCAATAACAGAACAATAGGAACTTTTCATTTCCTCATACTCGTCTACAGGTGGCTGAGTTACCGTACCTTTCTCCCTCTCTGCAAGTTTTTCCTCTAACTCTCTCACTTTCTCTCTGTTTCTTTCACTTTCTTCTAGCGCATTCTGGAGATCCTGCTTTAGCGCACGTATCTCCTCCTCGGTGACCCTCAGCTCCCGGAGATGGGAGTAAGCGTCCACGCTCTCGGGTGAGACGAGGCCCAGCTTCATCTGCTTCTGCACACTGAGGACTTCCTTCATCGCCTCCTCGTACTTGCTCTGAGTGTCTTTGAGTTTCTGGCTGAGGTCAGAGCCGTTCTCGGAAATCTCGGCGTTGTTCAAGCAGGCAGGCTCGGGCCGCCTGGACTGCAGCTCGGCCCGCAGCTGCCTCCTCTCTGCGTCGGAGCTCTCCAGTCTCCTCTGCAGGTCTTGCAAAAGCTCTTGTAGTTGCTGGATTCTGACATCGCTGTCGAGAATGGATTCACTCACATACTGTGTTAGGACAGGTGGAGAGGCTTTGAGGTCTGGGGGACCGGTTTCACTAGGTTTCCCCGGAGATGGAGCCAAGTCAGTGTGAGTGGAATGGTAAGAGTCAAAGCTCAGGTCAGCTTCTGCCTCCTTGGGTGACTTGGCCTGAAAAAGAGGCAAGAAGAATGAGCTGGCACCGAAGGTGTGGTTAGGTGAACAAGCAGCTGGAGTGAGAGAACAAATCCGAAAGCTCCACGTGGGAGAGGAGCGTGATTAAAAAAAAAAAAATTATTATTTTGCACGAACGTTTCTGCGTGTGTATTCCTGCCTCATGAAACAATATGGTCTGGGCCCGAGAGTCCGATAAACAACACTAAGCCTACTCTGTGTTCTACCCAAACAGGTGTTTAGTGACACTTGTTTAAAGACAGTAGATTTGTTTGGGCTGTAAAGGCTCTGATTCAAATTTCCCTTTATTTCTCGTATTATTCTAGTTGTGAGGAGGGGAGATCAATGAGCTTTAGCACAACTATTTCTTAACAATTTCTTAAATTTGCTAAATGGTCAACTTTACCAAATGAATGGCTAATCATGTCTATAAAAACATATAGAATTTTTCATATCATATATCATATTGTGTATATAATTATATATAATTTACCAATTTAGGAACTTACAGAAATAGGGTTAATGAACAACTTCCCAAGGAAGAAATAACTTGAAATTATAGAGTGCTTAAGGTTAACTATATTGAAAAAGAAGAAACTAATGTAGACATTTAAAATAAAGTATCATCTGACTAACCCTGAAAATCCCAGGAGCTCGACCCTGCAGAACAGTGTGTGTGGCAGCGATCTATTTACCTACCTGTAATTTATCTTGTAATTCCTTATTGTGTAAGGTAAGAGATGCAACTTTTGCTTGTAACAGGACAAGAATATCTGGTTGGTCAGCTTCAGAACTTATATCCAGTAAGCTATCAGCGCCTTGGGAAAGAGAAAGGCAATGTAAACTAAAATTTAAATATTAAACTGTTACTTCTCTGACCTCTAACAAACTCCCTTTCTGCCCAACCCAGTTTTTTTTCCTAGTCCTGCCTATGATTGAAAGCCCCCATCAGATGGATCAATGAACAGCAATTCCCAGCACTGGGGTTTCCTTAGTGGTTTCCCAGCACAATACTAGATGCCTGGATGCGTAGAAGCTCATCTGAAAAGTGACAGATGTGGCCGTACATTTTCTATTCCCTTGATTAAGTATAGCTTGGCTGTGGGTTTCTTTTGTTGTTGTTCCTCCCATTTCTGTAAATCCTTTTAGAAAAATCTCTGGAAGCTGGTTTGCTTTTTAACCCCATCACCATTACACTAATTCAGACTGTCACCTACTTTGAAACTCTGCCAACAGCTTCCAAAAAATATCTTCCTTTCTCTCTCTCTCTCCCCGCTTGTCTCAGTAAAAATGTAGCCTGCACACCACTGCCAGACTAATCTCCCTAAAACATGCTCTGAGAGGGTCATTCCTTTGGTTCAAGTGCTTTAATTCCTCTCCCTCTGAAAATCATCTCTAAATTCTTTTATCTAGATTAGACCTCCATGATCTGGCCCCGATCTGTTTCAGATTTATGATGTGTTTCTCTAGTATCCCTCATCCTTCAGATGCTGGGTGTCCAATGCACCCTCTGTTTTCCAACACAAGGCTGCTTCTTTAATTCCTTATCCACACAACTGCTGTTGCAACATCTCTTTGGTTAGATAACCCTTGGGTATTCTTCAAGTCTCACGCCAAACTCCACCTCCTCCACAAAGCATTTGCGGGCCACTGCACACGATAGGGTGTTCTCCAAATCCCACGGGAAACACTGCTGGTAAACCGGCACCCTTCGGCATCCTACTGATTATTGCACCGAAACAGCATCTAAAGCAGCACTATTCAAAGTGCTCACTGATGGGGACAGAAAACTTGCTCTAGAATATAATTCAGTGTACTGTGTCCTTCATCTGGAATGTCTTCTTATGGAAAAAAAGAAATCAGCTGGACCCGACAGTATGCTTCATGAGAGAGCCGGATGATTTTCTGGTGCAAACTCCTCACGTTTACTGTTAGACTGGCAAGGGTTTACAGACTACATCCTGAATAGCACTGAGCTACATTTTTTCCTGTTACTTTACATTTTCTCATAGCCATATAATGCAAAGATGAAAGCTTTAATCTTAATTTGCGAGTATGCAGAGTGACACTTCCTCATAGATAGGCTTACTTCTGCGGTCTAGTGCCTAAGCCACAGCTTTCTGACCAGAAGTCATGTGAGCATGGAGTGAACCAGAGATGAGGAGCATGACTGTGAACCTAAGCAACAGAAATTACTTCTAAGATACAAAGGATGAATCTTAAAGTGTACAATGTAACAACAGTTTGGTTACATGAACACTGGTTTCCGCTGGAAATGAGAAAGTTGAATATTTTTAAGTCCCGTTAAATTAAAGGCTCCAAGCACATGAAATGTTAAGACTAAGAAACTGAATACTGGAGCACAAAAGGACCTTTGAAACAATCTACTCTATATTTTCAATTGATTTTAAAGGCACTACACTGCATCCTCGGAGGGCAAACCCACACGGACTCTTAATACAATGAATTAAACCCTGTCTTGATGAAGAAAATACGATTCTGTGTGATTTCATTAACACGCTGTCTTTGCGTGGGTCTATTTAAAGCCCCATGGAGGTGCTTGGCTGGCTCTCCCTTCAGGGGAACAGCCTGCTGCTCACCGCCAAGGAGTGCTGCTAGCGGACAGCTTGCGGCCTATGGGTCTCATCTCAAAATACTGGTTTTAAATGCATAAAATAGAATAGACAGGCTACAGTCATTTATGAACTTATTTTATAACAGAATCAATAACAAGATCTGGCAGCAGGTCTAATAACAGCCCTCATTTCTAGGAGAGATACTGTAAGTGCTTATCAAGCCATCTATGATAACACGGAGGTGACGGGGCATGATCTGTGCATTCTCTCGGTGTCAGCCTCATGGGTCTGCCGCTGCCACTTGGGGAACTGCCTCTATCCATCACCGAAGGGAGTGCTAAAATTCAGTGTGAACCAAACGAGAACAGAGATACAGTATTTCACATTCAGGCTCTGAGACTCTTGAAAATCCAGGGGAAAGTCCCCTGAAGCAAAGAGGGTGCCAGCCTGCGTGGCATCGGCAGCTCTGGGGGCGTGCCAGGGCTCCCCGGCCTCCCGACGCGGAGGAGCCCTGCGCGGCCTTTGCTCTCATTACAGGGACGTGGGACAGAGACTGGTCAAGAGAACACAACCAGATGCTTCCGGCTTACCCGTGGTACTGTCACTCAGCCTGTCCTTGTTTTCCCGGATGGAACTGATCTCAGCCTGCTGGAACACAGCAATGACTTACAAGATTATTCCCGAATGTAACATTCCACAAAAGAATCAAGCCAATTTTTCTCCTTGGTGTTATCTTACTAGGAAAAGTTAGAAAGTCTCAAGGAAAGATGGTATTATAAAATATAAATAAACAGAAGTGACAATTACTACAAAAGTATAACTTCTAAAGCATTCGAAGTTCTAGAGGGTATGTTTTTAAAACATGTTTCAGAAATTTCATTTAGTAATTATAACACAGATATCTTTTAAGATGATAATAACTTTGAGATCCTAAAACTTGGGATGGCAAATACTTTTATAATGAAGTCAAACAGAGTTCTACCTATCTGGTTGATACACTGACTAAAATACATGAGAAGTACTTTTTAGTGTTATCATTTTATAAATTAACTGCTATGACTATGTTATTATTAATATTTCTAAGAGAAATGATAGTAAAGAAAGGCCTGTCACAGAAGTTAAAGGTAATTTTAATAAAAGCGATAAAAATTCTTCTGGTCTTGGATTGACAATTAATCCCCTAAAGATTTCCTTTAAACCCCTGTCTCTGAAGATCTGTTAATATATTGCAAAAATTCTTGAAATTTCAAAGTCAGAGTCTCATTTCAGAACACAGTGCAGCAACTGGCCAGAAATGACGGGGCTTCATCTAGATGAGCCACAGCCACGATAAGACAGAGAATTTTTCAGCAAGGGAACTTCTGTCAAGGCCAAAATGTGAAAAATAAAGTGGCTTACTTTTGGCACGTGCTTATCTTTATAGAAAGCTGTCTTTCACTTTGAAAGAGTGCATGCTTATTTTCGTTTTTCAACTCTATGAATGTACAATAAAGTGCACACACTTAAAGTTTACAGTTTGCGGAGTGCTGACAGATACATACCCAGGACAGAAAGTATTTGCATCACCTCTAAAGCTTCCTCATGTCCCTCACAGCCAGCCCTCGCCCACCCATTACCAGGGATCGGCTACTCTCCGTTTTGCATTTTTCTAGAATTCCCATAAATGGAATGTCACAGGGTATGAAGTTCTTTGTGTCTGGCCTCTCTCATTCAGCAGGACGACTTTCAGATTCAGCTATAACGCTGCTTGGCTCCCACTTCTTTCTTTTTTTATGGCTGAGTAATATTCCACCACATGGATAAATCTTATTATCCTTATTCATTCACTTCTTGAGGGACATTTGGACTGTTTCTAGTTTGGGGATATTTAAATAAAGCTGCTACAAACATTTGTGACTAGATCATACGTTGAACTTTTAAAGGGAAAAAACTGTGTCAAACAGTTTTGCAAAGCAGTTACAGCATGTGGCATTTCCTCCAAGAGTATCAGAGTCCTAATTCTCCCTCATCGTCACCAACAATTGGTAATTTTAACCTCTTTAAACTTTAGCCATTCTAATTGGTGTCAGTTTTTAATCTTCTTCTGTTTTTTAAAGGTATTTATACCTCGATTTCTGAAAATAACAATTTGTGCTATTACTCTTTGAAATGCATTGCCTCCTTTGAGCCATAAGCATTTAAGAAGATATTAGGGTACTGTGAGAGTATAACTTCCTTGCCTTGTCTTACCTTGTATAGGTATTAATCTTAAGGGTTTATTACCTATAAACTAGTAAAATCTAGTTTAAGTGAAGAAAATGATAGGTTGATAGAATCTTTTCAGATCAGTGGGCATCTAAGTTAAAAAAAATTATCTTTAGTAACGCTTAGATAGGGGAAATAAATATATACAATAATAAATTTTACTTTCTTCCCAAGTACAATTTTCTGGTGATTATAAGGTAAACAGATATTGGACTGAAATATCCTCCCATTCCTTACAATACTTTCTAACCACAAGTCCACAGAACTGGGTGAAATAAAACCTAATGGATTTTTAAAAAATTTCTAAAGTAAATACTCATTACTGTTAGAGTCAGGACAAAGTTTAATTAAAACTATATAATTACTTCTTAGTAAGACATCAGAGAACAACAAAACTTTTCATTTGATTGGCATTACATCAACTCAATTTAGTAAGAGGACTGGTTATCAGGTAGGTTTCATCTTTACCCCTTTTATTAAATGAAGAAATTAATTACTAGCGAGTGAATGCAATTTATTCATGCTATTCTTTTTGTATGGGGTCCATGCCAGGAAAATAATCAAGGGTGCTTTTTGATGAAAAGTTTGTAAACCAATCGGAGACGTATATTCTGTTTCACCCAGTGCTATATAACCTAAACCAAGTCTATTAAGTATCATACAATTCAATAGCAAAATTGAACACAGAAAGAAAATACCTTGAAGGGTGGTTCAGCAAAAAATGCTGATTCCTTCCCCGAAATTGGTGTTGAAGTTATTGACCTTGGGGAAGACACATCACTCAACTAAAAAGAAAAAGAAAAAAGAAAACCATCAATAAAGAACGTATCTTCCAAGTCTTTCCTTCTCCAGTGCCAAAGTATTGAACCAATGCAAACAAATCTAACAGTAATTATCCTTCATTTCAATTATTTGGTGGATAACATATTTTCAATGTAATTCAGATACCTCAAATACTTTCTGCAAGGCTGCAGATTTTCACTACGTAACTTTGCTCCTATGTTTACTAGAATCAATTTAAAAAATCTATAAAACTTCTACTGCAGGTTGAGAATATTATTAACGACTATGCTAACAGAGTTAAAGTTACTTATCCGATGAGGTGTCCCCCCCCACTGTCTGAGCGTGGGCTACCCCTTCTACGGGCTGCGATTCTGTTAGCAACAAGCCCCCGCCTGCCTTTTTCCCCATGTCTGCACTTCCTCCTCTGTGCAGTAGTCCCTGTCACCTGAAATGAAAGCTGCTTTTAAGTCAACCTTAAATGTAATTAAAAAGGCAAATATGCTTTACCAGTGTTTTAAGAAACCCACTAAAATTCATTTTCAACAGACCGTCTCACCAGCTCTCCACTCTCCTGCCTCTACTAGGGGTGTTAAATGGGGCTCTATTACAGGGGTGTCCAACCTTTGGGCACCCCTGGGCCACATCGGAAGGAGAGTTGTCTTGGGCCGCACATTAAATACACGAACACTAACGAAAGCTGATGAACAAAAAACAGGTATTGAGGAAGTTCATAATTTTGTGTTGGGCCGCATTCACAGCCATCCTGGGCCATAGGCTGGACACCCCCGGAAGGAAATGAACTTGTTATCTTAAGGAAAAAGTTTCTGTCACAGAGATTTTGAGACATTTAAAAAAGACACTGTTCATTTCTTCAGTTTTGAAATAAATAAGAATCAACCTTATTTCCACACTGCTAATCAAAATCCTTCATATCACAATTTGTAATGTAAAACCACTGAAGAAAATTTTACGTGTGTGTTCAAGGTTCAATTCTAAAACATTTCGTGTTGGCCCAAACACAAAATGACAAAACTATCACTTTGCCGCTGTATGTTTGTTCACTGTGGGGTTGCTTTTGTTTTTACCTGGGTAGGACTGATAGGAGGTGGTGGAGCTTTGCGTTTTTTTGGAGTTCCACTTCTTTCTGAGCTTATTTTAGACACTTGATCATGCTGAAAGTTATCACAGTCCGAAGAACGGAGGTGGGTTAGTTAGGTTAGTCATAGTCTGAGCAAATAGCTTCATCAAACAATGAGAAAAACCTCAACAGTTCATGCATTTCTTACTTTATCAAGATCTGAAATCTGCTACCAACATAAAAATAAGCAATGTGCATGCTCAAAGTTTTCTTCCAGCAGCCCATGCCTTAATAGCAAGAAAACAAAGGACACCAGACAAAATCAGATTAAGCTGGCGTGGAAAACCGCGAAAGTAGAGGGTGAGGAGCTGCCTGCCACAATTTAGAACCCAGAACGCACTCACAGTCTAGCTTTCATCTGAACACAAAGCAGTGAGTGGAACTTGCCCCATTTTGCATTACTTCCACTCCTTTACTTAAAGAATGTAAGTACCGGGGAAAGGCAGAAACTCAGCTCTAAAGTTTATGGATAAATAAGTAACACAGTTAGTACATAATAAATTCAGTACTGAGTTTTGTGTTTATAATTTTTTCAAAAACTCCGATGTATAAATAAACAGCCAAACATAACATCTCGTTAATAATAAAGTAAGCAATAGTGACTGTTTTTAGGGAAAAAACTCCAAAATCACAGGGCAAACTTCTCAGTTTCTACGTGACACTAATGACATTTTTTTAAAAAGCCTCAATTAAAAGGAAAAGCTAATTATCTTATTTTCATTAACTATCTAAAGTTGCCAGGGATATAGGTCTGCAATCCATGTGATATTACAAGTATTTAAAATATTGTTATTCATTCTCAGAGTTTAAACTGCATCACCTTCTCAACAATAGGAAATATTAGTACATTTCAGAAAAAGATAAATATATAAGTAGCAAGCTTAAAGTTATAAGCTTTGAGACAGGGTAAACTCAGAAAACATTTACCACCTTCTAATGACGAAACATTTATTCTAAAGATATTTCGCTCCTTAAGCATTTTCAACATAGTCTTTCTCTCTTTTCTAGGACCACGGAAAGGTTTAACTGGAACATTTTCAAATTCTGTTTCAAATTCTCACAAACAAAGATGAAAAAACAAACCCCCTCCCCCAAAGATAAATACCTGCTTTGGTTTTGTTGGTGTCTTTAAATCTATAGAGGAAAAAGCGGGGGGAAAAAAGAACTGTAAGAACCATAATAACTCTTATTCACCTTGGGTAGGGGGGATACACATACAGTACACTCAATACTTAACACTTCATTTTTCTTCAAGAATATGTTTAAAAGAATAATAAAATATATCATATTGCACAAATTCCTTTATCCTTTGGGGAAAATGGAGTGGACAAAAAAAACAACACTGGCTCTTTTCTTTCACATACCAGCATCCTGAGAGATTTTCGATAACAGAAGGCTTTGAATTCCTGCGTTTTCGGAGAGTTTAGAATAATGTAAGGCATTGTGTCCAAGCGAGTCTACAAGGGCGAGGTCTGCACCTTTTTTGATTAAGGCTTCCGCGATGTTATAGCTGCCGGTCTCACACGCCGCCATCAGAGCGGTTCTAAAGAAACGGGGACACCACGTTAGTGCCGACACAATGCGGGGGCCCACGCCCTGGCTTCAGACCGGGAAGGAAGAGCCAGGGCAGTCAAAACTGCCACCCTTCGGCTTCTAGGGGATCCAAAATGGAATGCTATCAAGATGAAATCAGGGAGGTGTTTTTTAAAACCTCAGATTAATTCAAAACATTAAGTCATAATAGGTCAAATAACACAGACACAATCTTCTAAGTGTAATCTTCTAAATATAATGGAATTTAATATGATTGGCACAGATCTTGGGTTTTTTTCACCTTAGGCATTTCAAATTACCTATACATTATTAGGGTGATTTTTTACAAAAAGAAATCAACATGTCTACTTTTAATTAATTTTGCAAGAAAAATCACAGGAAATGGCTTGTTCACTTTAGTATTTCATAATCTCATTACAGACTCAATGATGTTCCCAGAGGTCTGGGGAAAAAAAAATTTTTTTAAAAGTCAAAACAGATTCTTGATTATTAAAAAAGGCAGAAAATTAAAAAAAGCAAACTTAAAACCACTTCACAACCAATGATCCAAACTACGGCTATGATATTTTGAAAGAGTCTCAGAGAGTGTGGGTATTCTGTAAAGCTGTGGTACCTTCCGTTCTTGTCCCTGGAATTTACATCTGCTCCGTGATCCAGAAGAAAGCGACAGACCTCACTGTGGCCGTTTTGTACCGCAAGAAGCAACGGTATATTCCCATCCTAGGAGATGAATTCAGATTACGATTTTTCACACAGATACCACTGCGAGAAAGGGAAAGGTCCCTGTTCTTTCTACATTTATTCCTGGATTGCCCTTTTGGTCTGACATTTGACCCCTCATGACAGTGCGTCCAATTGGGCTGCTCCTACATCTGAGGACAACTCTTCTCAGGGACTTTCCCCGTTAGCTTTTCCGCAGGAGCCCCTCAGTCTCTGGAGTTGCTCGTGTTCACTGGGCCATCAGGCCGGTGACGACGTGAGAGCGCGCAGAACACAAAGCATGCAAAGGCTCCAGGCAAGTACATGCACCAGGTGTACTGGTGGATGGTTCTGAGGAAGTGAAGGCCTGGTTTCACAAGGCATGAGGAGGTCACCGCCCTCAGAGCAGGCTCTTCTGAGTGGACTACATGTATCCTGCCAGGACACTACTGTCTTCTTGGAAAACATACTTTTTCATAATCTTACTACGTATCAAAACATAGCATAGCCCTGGCCAGGTGGCTCAGTGGGTTGGAGTATTTTCCTGTGCACCAATAGGCTGAGGGTTCAATTCCCAATCAGGGCACACCCCTAGGTTGCTGGTTTGATCCCCGGTTGGGGCATGAATAGGAGGCACCTGATTGATGTTTCTCTCTCACATCCGCGTTTCTCTCTGTCTGTCTCTGTCTCTCTCTCCCCCTCTGCCCCTTCCTCTCCCCCGCCCCGCCCCTTCCTCTCTCTCTAAAATCAAGAAGCATATCCTAGGGTGAGGATTAAAAAAAACATAATATAAATTTAGAGTTTGTGTATTACTGACACATGACTAGATGAAGAGATGGATGGAAAATGATTTATTATGTTACAATATGACGACTGGCAACTCGTTTGGAAAAAAAAGAAAATCAGGCCCCCAACTCATATACCTAAAGAATCTAAACATGACAATAAGAACAAATTAAAAAATACTAGAATATATAGGTGATTATCTGCATAACCCCATGGTGAAGAGGGACCGATACAAATGGCACAAACCACCTGAGGGGCTTTGATTCTGCCCTTTCCTTGAACATGCCCTCCAAACGGGTCCACAGTAATTTTTAGGGTAGATGTATTCACTCAAATAGGCAAAGGAAAAAGATCACTTACAACATCTCCCATTATTTTAACAAGGGGACTTGTTACAATACAATTGCTGCTTGAGGATTAAGTTTCCTATTAAAGCAGAATTTCAGACATTTCTAAAAAAATTCTCTCTCAGAAGGTACGGTACTTTCTGGCTATAAGGTACTGAGATTCAGGGAGTGGGAAGTTATTCACAGATTCCATATGCTCACTTCACAGCATCTCCACGAGGTCTAAGTGTGCACATATCCATTCCCATGCAACAGCAGGGAACTGAACCCTGCAAGCAGGGGCAATGGGCATGTAAATTTATTCTCCAAAGGGCTCAGGGAGGTTAAAAGAGGCTAGAAGTGGTCTTCACAGCTGGAGAACCCTAAGCAGCAGTACCCCGGTGATACACATGGGGTGCCCAAAGAAAGGCATACGACTTCTACTTAGACTTATTTTTTAATTTTTAAAAATCAAGAAACTCAGTCTTATTGGTATTTAAGTTGATGGCAGCCCATATACATATCCTTATGTATAAATACACATATATGGGAAGTGCATGCTGCAAAATATGTTACTTATGATGTAGGGACCAACGGGGGATAATACTTCCACCCATTTTGCAGAAGAGGAGCTCAATTGAAAAGCCACTGAATTTGCCAAACACTGAGATCCCTCACGTCTCAGTGACTGCCAGTGCTCTAGACACTAGTGTGCACCGCCACCTCGTATGGCCGCCTGGTACTTACCAAGTCCTTGAGGTTTACCGGGCTTTTGTGTTCGCACAGAACCTGCACGGCTGGAAGGCAGCCCTGTGCCGCTGAGGAGAGAAGACAGAACACCACACCCGATCAAAAGCTGCTCTCACAACCTGGGCATCACATGCTCCTGGGAAGAAGCTGAAATTCTGCCCAGTTTGCCTCTGTTCACTCTGGCTGCACTCAAGGGAAATGGCACCGGGGAGGAGAAGTAAGAGGTGTTCTCAATTACTGTTTAATTTCAGGGCTAGCCAGCCTGAAAGCCAGCCACTGCCCATAGGCAAACGTTTGATTTAGCTTTTCCACAACTAGCCCTAAAAGAAGTTCATAAATCTAATCATCCCCAGGTTCAGTGTCAACATATTGTCACTCAAGTGCAACAGACACTGTGTAACAGACGGTAAAACAAAATGTTGATGATTGATGTTCTGAATGATCACCAAAGCAGAAAATATCTGTATTGCCCCTTACTTGAATTCAAAGGCTTATGAATATCTCTTAGTTGAAACAAGAACCTTAAATTAACTCAAATACAACCAAGACAAGTTTTACTAGTTGTTTGGCAGGCGACTGAAGAATTCTAGACTTATTCCTTGGTAACTCTAAACACTGTGCAAACTGAAAAAAAAATGGGGCTGGCTAAGAATAATGACAAAAAACAGCATCAGGAACAATATAATATGTAGGTTCAATGGCTTGCGCCAGGAAAATGAAAAGTTAGCGGGTCTTAAGGCCGAAGAGAAATGAGAGGATGAGAGTTACCTGCGTAATGCAAAGCGGTCCTCCCAGAGCTGTCCGTGCCTTCGGCCGGGCACTTAGACTGCGAGACAAACATAGACAAATCCATACAATCAAGCTCAGTTCAAGTCAGTTCCTCTTTTTCCTGCAAGGTACGATGGGACTTACTGGGAAGAGTGTAAGCACAAATGGGCCCCATTCGCCATGTCTCAGGGGCCTGTCGTTTCTTAGGCAGCGGAAGACTCGTCTCCAAGTAATCAAGGCGCGGGCTGCTGCTCCCGCCACCTCCTCCTGTCCCCGACCGTACCACCATGCTCCCGTCCACCGGGTCATCCCCACCGGCTGGCAGCCATGCTCTCCGATTTTTCTTCTTGACGCAATCACCGCCCCCCCCACCTATTTCCAGCCCCAATTCTCTGTCCCTTTTACAAAACCCACTTTTTAAGAATTGTCCACACACAGTCCACGCTTCCTCACCTGCCATTCGGTCCCAAACCCACAGTCAGGTGCTTTCCCTCAAGACTCCAGAGGAAGGTCCTAGCCAAAGTCACCGACAATCCTGGCGTTTCCAGTGACGGCGACTGCCTTCGTCCTCCTCGGCCTGACCTCTGACCCGCAGCCTGCACCCCCTTCTCTAGCGCTCCACACCCCGCTCCCCGACCCGGCCCGGCCCTTCCAGCCCTGGTTTTCCTCCCACCGCTGGGGCTGCTCCTCCTCCGTAGCCAGACCTAAAACCCTGGGCTGCTTGGCGCACTCTCTTACGCTCTTCCACGGTCATCTCATCCACATCTACAATCTAATGCCTCCCAAATGCACATCTTAACAATAACAGTGATGATATCATGTAAATACTTCCTGTGATGTGCCAGGCATTGTTCTAAGAACTGTTTTAAGGCTCCAAACAGCCCTTGTTGGGCACTATTATTTAACCCCATTTTCAGATGAGGACACTGAGCTACAAAGATGTTAATAATGAGTTCAGGTCACAGTGAGCAGCAGAGCAAGGATTTGAACCTCGACAGGCTGAACTGGAGCCTGTGTTCTTATCTCTGCACAAGAGAGGCCGTCTCTGAGCACCAGGCTTGATAACCTACTGCCTGGTTCCCCCTGCCATCTTGCTGTCTCACAGGTGCCTCCAGCCTGGCACAGCCAAGTCTTCCGGTTCTTCCCCTCCCCCAGCCTGATCCTCCGACACTTTCTCATCCATCAATCTAGTCGATGAGCCAACAACTACTGAATCATCTCCGATTTCTTCTCCTCCTCCTCCTTCCACTATGTCAATTCTGCTCCAAAAAAACATATCTTTGTTCTACTGTCTGGTTTCTCCATGACAACCTGGTGTGAACCGGCACCTTCTCACCTCAACAGGTAGGATGGCCTCCCTCCTAGCAGGTCTCAATGATTCTGAGTTTTCCCCATTTAACCAACTCTCTATACAATTAGACTGGCCTTTTAAAACAGTCGCTCTTTACTTAGAAGCTCTTCCAGGTGCACACTGTACTCAGATTAATTATGCCCACCGTGCCATTCAAGGCCCATACCTGGCACCTTTATTTCTCTCCCTCCCATGCTCTGCCCCAGGCCCACGCAGTGGCTTTCTTTCCTCTCCGACTGGTGCCTTTCCTACCTTAGGCCTTTGGCACTTGCCGCTGTGTCTGCCTGGAGTGCTTTCTCCCTGGCCCGTTGCATTGCTGAATCCTCAGCTTAATGAGCATCTCCTCCCTGAAGCCTTCTCTGAACACGACCTTTCACTCCTCTCTCAAGTATCCTGTTAGTTTCTTTTCAGTGCTGTGCAATTTGTAGCGTGTCTTTGTGTACCTTGTGTACTTGGTTTGCCAGACTGTGAGCTCCATCAGGACAGGGCTGCCGTATTCCTGAGTACATAATATACTCAATGCTTGGCACAAGTGCCCCAGGGGACACTTGTTAGAAGAAGCAGGGAAGTAGGAGAGCAGCTACCAGGGAAGGGAGAGAGCTCATTTGAATTTGAAGTTTCACAAGGCTTTATTTGCACTCAATGCCTTGAGGAGGTAGGGTAGACTTTTAAAATGACAGCCACTGGAGAAGGCAAGTATCTCCCCCAGACAGGTAGTAAGAGCCTTGGTCTAGAACGCCCAGAGAGAGGCATAAATGCAGAGGGTGCAGGGGTGAGGGGTAGCCAGGGAGGTCACATCACAGAAGGCATGGGTTGTCAAGAGGGGAGGTAAAGGACTACCTAGAGAGGCACAGGACCCAAAGGAAACAGCCCGTTAGGAGGACATCAAAGCCTCAGGTTTTAACGACTATTCCAGAAATAGCTTTCAGAAAACTTGTAAGTTCGGAACGGCAAGAACAGGCCAGTTAAGAGTGAAATGTCTGTCTGCGACATTTTAGTGGCGAGAAGAATAGAGCTCAAGTTCCAACTTGCCATGCCTCGGCCTAATTTTAGAACAGCACAAGGAACTGTTTAAAGGCTTCAAAGATTCCAGAGAAAAACCAATCTATTTGCATAACCAGATATAAGATTACACGAGAGGCTGAAATATCTGGTCCTTGCCCACGAGGATTTCTAGCTTGTCAAGTTCATTCTTCCTTAAAATCAGAGCCAGATGCAGAGTCTGGATAGCCAAGCCGGGGGGAGGGGAGGGCGCGGAGGCGCGGGGGTGGGGTGGGGTGGGGGTGGGCAATGGAGATTTAGAGCACACGCTGTGTTTTAATAATTGAGGTAAGACCGAGAGTATGGAGGCTGGTGCTAACCTGGGCAGGTCAGCGACTCTCATTTATCCAGAATGCCCATCCAGTCCCCGAGAAGGTGGATGAGAACAGTTCAATGTGAACCGTTTTCAGGGAGAAGCCTCATCATAAAAATAATGAGCATCACAGATGTTGACCTGTTTTTCTTGAATTTCGTGGCGAAGACCTGTGAAGGTTAAGCATCCCGGCCCTGGCGGTAGCTTGCATCATGTAACGCAAGACAAGAAGCTGTGTGATCAGCAGAGCAGGACAAGCCGAAGAACGTGGCCGCATTTCTGCATTAGAATTGTAAAGTCAAATTAAAGCAAGATGCTGGGTCGCCGACAGTGCTCCACAGCCCCACAGAACAGACAGTACTCCAAACATGTATTTTATTGCTCCGCGCTGTTCCTGAAACCAGCCAGCTTGCATTCTGACTGGCAACAGCTGGATGTTACGGTAAGGGCTGCTATAGGGATTTCATTAAACATTCATCTTTATAAAGATTTACGGAAGTCGGCACCCTAAGTGATCATTATAAGCTTCCTGGCAAGACTGTCAAACCAGGGAGTTAGCTTAAAATTATACAGAAGAATAAAACCAAGAACTTAAGAACTGAAAGCTCATCGAGTTACGTACAAGGAAATAATGGTTGGAATTCTGCTTTGCAAGGAGCGCTGTGTTCTACTAATGACTGCAAGAGAGAGGGCTAGGACACGGGACAGCCTATTTATAAGAATCCCCAACATCACAGAAAACTCTTTAAATTTTTAAAATTTAATCTTCATTGTATTGTTTTCCATTACCCTTTAGTCCCCTTACACCCGCCCCAGCACTCAGCACACTGTTGTCCCATGTCCATGAGTCCTTTTTCCTTTTTGCTCAGTCCCTCTACCCCCTACCCTCCCCCACCCCACTAGCTGTCATCTGTTCCCCGTCTTTGAGTCTGTCCCCATTTTCCTTATTAGTTCAGCTTGTTCATTGGATTCCACGTACGAGTGAGCTCCTATGGTATCTGTCGTTCTCTGACTGGCTTATTTCACTTAGCATAATGTTCTCCAGGTCCATCCATACTGTCGCAAGAGGTAAGATTTTCTTTTTTTATAGCCGAGTGTTTTTTTAACTGACTATTTAAAGGGCCCAAGTTCTTTAGAAAAGAAAAAGAGGAGCTGAAAAATGGAAAGAAAAAGGCTGGACGCCAGGAAGACCCTCCAAATTCTCTACTAGTGTGATTGCTATAGAAATAGTCTTCTCCTGGGCTGGCATTTCAATAATGAAGCTTCTGAAGGAGCCAGGTTCTAGCATAGCATTTAAAGGAGAGAGAAGGAGGGAAAGACAAGAGACAGAGAAAGGGAGAGAGAAAGGGGGAGAGAGAGAAAGGGGAATAGAGAGGGAGAGAGAGAGGAAGGGAGAGGGAGAGTGTGATCTTTTACAGATAAGGTTATTTTAAACATTGAAAGTGACATGTGTATAGTTTTAAGTTGTTGTCCTTTTTTTACCTGAAGGAGCTTCTTGATGTACTCATGGTGGCCGTTCTTGGCTGCGAGGTGCAAAGCACTGTGTCCTAAATAGATTTAAGAAAACAAAAATGAAAAAAACAAAAAACAAAAAAAAAAACAGCCACACATTTTCAATCTCTTATCTCTGTAATGAAGACAACTATGAGGAAATAAATTGTTCTCCAACAAAGATGGGATTGTTGTTCTTCAAAGTCAGGCCTCAATTCCTTATCTCTGAAGTTCAGGGCGGCAGAACTGGGAGAACACAGGGCACCCTGCCCGAGGCTAATCATTCGGGGCCTGCTCCAGCGCCGTCCCCTTGGGGCACCGGCAAGCTCTGGGCTGAGCTGGCGGCGCTCACACCAGGCCGCGGAGAAGTGCGCTTTCCACGGTCAACATACACGCCAAAGATCCTGTGTCCACAGTCACGGGCTGTGAATGCCACAGGCCCGGGGACCCAATGAAGGCGGCCTGCAAGCCCACAGGGAACACATCCAACACCCACACACTTCAATCCCTTTTCTTCTAAATGCCCTCCAGCCCCTGAATGGAAATTACCTCAAGGTCTCAGAGATTCAAAGTTATGCAGAAGAAGGAAATGCATTATAAAACAACTACATGCTATTAAAGTAGCATTTCTTAACATTTTCTTGAAGAGCACAGCCCCGATATGAGGCTCTCTGATGTTTCTGTGGACAGGAAACTTTAGGAAATGCTAACACGACACCCATCTGTTCTCTCGGCCTAATGGGCCTAGAGAATAATTTCTAGGGACGAGGGGCCTTGGAATCTACCAGACCACGGGGCTCCCAGCCCAGGGCTTTTAGAAATTACTCTCTGCTTCACCTGAATGCTCCTGCTCGAGGCTAACCACCCAGCTTGCTCTCTCACCTCTCGCCAATGCCACTGAACCATTCTGAGTGAGACTTTCCTGACCTCCCCACTTAAAATTCCAGTTCCTCCCCAGCCCTTTTGATCCCCTCTCCTGGCTTCACGTCTGTTCTTGGTGGCGCTGCACACTTTCCAACACTCCTCCCAGTGCCCCCTTTCTCTCTACGCAGACGTACGTATTTACAAAGTGTCCTGTTCTCCTTTCCGCACTAGAATACAAACTCGGCGATGACAGGGGTTGTTGTGTGTTATTCCCTCCTGTACCCCTAGTGCCTATGACCCTGCTGGCACATAGCAGGCTCCCAATACAGGCTTGTTAGTGTGAATTATTGGGTATGTTCATCACAAGTGTCTGGGGAGAGGTTTTGGGGGAAGGGGACCAAAATCACCACTGCCAGTCAACCCAACAGACCTAGTAAACTCTTAAATCCTGCATTTCCCCAACTATCTGACCAAGACCCCCCAGGGAAACAGCGCAGCCTCAGCACTACTGCCTTTCTAGATTGTAGGGGGCTGGCCCGTGCGCTCTGGGATGTTAGGCGACATCTCTGCCTCTACCCACTAGCTATCCGGTTGGGACAATCAGAAATGTCTCCCGACGTTGCTAAGTATCCCGATTTGTGGAGGTGGGGGTGGGGCAGAATCGCCCCAGGTTGAGAATCACCAGCTTAGAGGAACAATTTCTTTTATATATTGTTCCAGTCTCCAAATACCATTTCTCCTTTCTGACCAGAAATTCACTAATTATTAGAGAATCATGTCTAGAAGATGCCATATTTAAAAATTAGAGGAATAGGACCCCAGTGAGCTGCACAAAAACATGTGTAAAGTCAGAAGGTCGGATTCTTTTTTTTCTGATCTGAGCTGGACTGAGAGACGCTAAGGGGTTGCAAAGAGGGTGGGACACTGAGAAGCAGGGACCCCTCCATCCCCTCCTGAACAGGTGACAACGAGGAAGATTAGGAAATGAGGGGAATGAGACCCATGGAAGCAGGAAGACAAAGATCTTCCCTCCCCTCCCTCCTCTTCTGCACGAGGCCCCCTCCTTCCAGGCTGTGGCTCATCGTGCTGTGAGTTCAGTTACACTATGCATTAAATAGGTTCTGGGGGGCTAGCCTGGCTCCCAACCATCGTTTCTAAGGACGAACCCATACTGCATTTTAAACAAACGCCTTGCAGATGAACTTCGGGAAGCCATCCTGATGGTAGGCCGAGACCACTCGTGTCCTGTACGCCTGCGTGAACTGTGTCTATGCCGCGGACAAAGGCTGTTTCACATAAACAGCACCCACTGCAAAAAGGCACAGCGCCCCACAGACAGGACAGGAGGGAGATTTAAACAACTTGTCGGAAAATAATCTACAGGCTTTCATTTAACCCCAAGGGTTCTAGTCATGCCTGGAAGTAAGTGCTGTGTTTCAAGAGAAACAAGAATCTTTCATTCTTTGGCCCTGGGATATGTTTTCCCAACCAGCAGCACTCAAGCATTTTTCACTTAAAATGGTCTCAAAATTCGAATGATGCATCATTCCCTGGACAATAATATCTGAAGTGGGATGCTTCTCACTGCTAACATTAAAACAAAATTCTCTTTCCATATGCAAAATTTTCTGGAGAGAATATATATTAGTGACAGAATCTCACTGTAACGAGACAGTGCATACGTCTGGCCCCATTCAGCTGTGGACCTGTCTGGACTATCAGGAAGCCATTCCCCCACAGGCAGTTGACTGGGCAATCCTAATGCAAGTGCATTACCGCAGAGCATGGCCTGTAAATGAAAAGACCAGTGTTACTTACAAGGCGAGAGCTGCGGGCTATTCCAGGTGGTCGAAGCGTCTTATGATGGAAAGAGAGTTCAAGAAGAATGGCCGAGCCATTAAGGCCAGGGAACACCTCTCCCCAGACTACCTCAGACAACAACCACGCGTTCAGTTCTTAAAGATCACTGGAGAAAACAGAGGAATTCACTGACATAACAGAGGCATTACTGATGGGACCAGAACACCCTCTTGAAGGGCATGTGGAAAATTTTAAAGCCAACGAAATCACAGCACAGAAAGATATGGCTGACACATAGCAAAAAGCCAAAGTTTGAGAAACGACTGTTTCCGATCATAAGACACACAATTAGAAAAATAAAAAGAATTAAATAATACTCAACCAGGTAAGGTTTAAAACATTTTCCTAAAAATTGGAGTATCAGAATGCTGAATATAAACAACAAAAGTATGAATTTATTTGGTTCTTATTTACAACTTTAAATATAGATTCTTAGAAAGCCCCATCTTTACGTCAAATGTTCATTACTGAACCGTAAGTTCATCCACCTTGTTATATTCTCAGGAGAGACAAGATCACAGTGTAAAAGACTTATTTATAGTAACTATTCTTATTAAATAATTATGAAATTATCTTAATCTCCCCAGTACAGACTTGCATTATGTTTTATAACGAATCAAAAGATTTTTCTGCATGTTTACGTATCATCTGAAACATTTTCACAGCCGGGCTATGCTGTCTCTGTATGTCTGGCCCTTCTGACCTCCCACACACGAGTCAATAGCAAGTAAAGCATCATACATCATACACCTGTTTTTGGTTTCTCTTTATCTAAGTTGAAATATGAAATACACTTCTGGCTATAATTTTCAGTTACCTTTTAAATGACCCATCCTCCAAAATGCCCAAGTTTCAAAACACACATTACCTTTCTTATCTTCACATGGTGTCAAAGTTAAGTGGGAGTAAAAGGGGTGTAACGGAATGAAAGGCCCCCCAGAAACCAAAACAAAAGCCGAACCGGCCTGTGGGGACCCTAGGGAAGAGTAAGGGCTCCCACGTTCTCCCGTTTTTTGAGGACCCTCTGTGATACGATATTTCAGTATCTCCCTCTCACTCTCCTAAGTCTCTCTTCTTCTGTGAGAAAAGAAGTGTTACGATGAATGTCAAGTGTGCCAAGGGATCAGAGAAAATGTAAGATACAGGAGAATGACAGAAACTGCATGTCATCCTTCACAGTCTCTGTTTCTACCTCCTTTTCCAGCCCAGTCTTTTCGCTGGGCCAGGTGCTGCCCAGAGCTCCCCAGCTTCCTTCCCATACGGCCGGCGTCACACTTCAGCCCAGTGAGATCTGAGTGTAGCCACTCGGTGCCTCTGTCTGCCTTTCCCCTTTCTGCCTGCTGCTGGGCTGCACGCGGGGGGCCAGCCTGGGCCACTGGGACCACGGTGACACCCTGGATGGTGGAGGAACAGAAGTGTGGGGCAGAGCTGTCATGCCAACGTGGGACTTTCAATGGAGAGAGAAAATTCTGCCTTGTTCACATCACCCTGTCACACTGCATCGAACGCATACATTCTCGCTAATAAAGGGAGCCTGAGAGCGAAGGCTTCAGAGAGGCACTACTAACAAACAGAAGATGCCTTGGTCTTCTGTCATCTTCCGTTAGAACTTCTTTCTAATCCCATCTCACACCCCGGAGTGCTGAATGCAGGCATTGCCCACCCTCCTGCCCCCTCCCCCAAGCCCACCATTTGTCTCGGAGAAGTATTTTCTAAGGAAACAGACAGAAATGCCAGTTCTTACATCTGTGGAGAACAGGAGCAAACAAGGCAATGAAAGATGCTGGACAAACACCGCAGGCCCAGTTCAGAGAGGGTGTGCTGAGCTCGGAGCCGACTCTCCCAGCTGACCCTGTCTGCCTGGGATGCCATTTGGAGAACAGGTCATTAAAGAATGGGGAAAAAAAAAAAAACAACCCAAAGCTTAAGTCATGAGCTGCTTCAAGTCTCCGGGCTTTCCTTTTCTGACTTGTACAATGAGAGCAGTTGGCTGGGTGATTGTCAAATACTTTTTTCTTTTTTGTGAAGATGCAAAACCTCTCCGAAAGCCCGCGTGGAAAAGAGAATGAAGGTGACCGGGAAGCAGCCACAGCCATGGGAGCACAGGAGCGAGAGCGGTGAGCGCGGGCCGTGTGCCGGCCACCGCCGAGACGCCCGCCGTCATCTCCCCTGCGCTCCGAGGCCATCGCCAGCGGTCTGACTGTGGGCGGTGCAGGGCGGCGACACCCAAGGCCTTCTTTTCTGGCTCTGCTTTGCTCTCAAGTTTGTTTGTAAAGCATCCATAACAATTCTCTCGTCAGACTTCTAAGCATTTCACGGGGACGGACAGTTGCTAAAAAATAGGTGCTAAGAACCCTTTGCTTCTACAGCGTTAAGTCTAGTCACCAGACTAAAAAGGAGGAAAAGGAACCTTTTTGACCATCCTAGAGACTTTGTGCATAAGAAGAATAAAAAGAGTCAGTGTAATGTATTTTGAAAGCAGGCTTTTTTCAGAAACTCTACAGGGCATTAGAGTGTATGGTAACGGATTTTCATAGCAGTTCCCGCTGGGCGTGGGATTAAAAACAACTGTATCTCAGTTAACAATACTGTGATTCTTAAGGCAGGCTTACTGAAAAGACAGCTCCCGTAAGAGTGAGCCATTTAATTCATACCTTAACCTCCGTAACAAATGTTTTGGATTAACGATGAGCACTAAGTCCCAGTGACTGATGTCCTTGTCCTTCCCTTGGACTCTGATGTGCTTTGTTGAGAGGGAGAGGTGGGGGTGGGTGACACAGCCAACAGGAAAGGCACAGGCATGGGCAGTAAGAGCCAGTCCACTTATCTTTTTTGCTGTGACAGAAAGAAGCCTGAGCAGCGTTGGTCTAGATAACACAACACACCCATTGTCTGCACACAGCGTCTTCCTTCTTTTGTTCCTGTGTTCGCCTTGCATGCTCTCAAGAAGCCACGAGAAGTCAGTGCCGCATTCAGACTGCAGTAAAATAACAAGCCAAGGACCAAAGTACTGGCCCCACGGCTAACAATGCTGGGCGACAGGGAAGTGACTGGCCGCCCCGAGACGTCTGCTACTCACCAAACGTCTGGACGCCATTCCAGGGCCCTAAGGCTGTGGTTCCACCACTTTCTATTTGAGTGGAAAGCCATGGATTCTGGCAGTTTCCAGGGACTGGCCCAGAGGAGCCTCCGGGATGGGCTGCAGTGACCTCCCCCGCCGCCGGTGCTGCTTCTGGGGGGGCGGCGGCGCCTCAGCGGGCAGGAGGCGCGCCCTGCACTGGGCTGCCTGGCTCTCACTGCCCAGCACCTCACCACGCTCTTGTGAACTGAGTGAAGCTCTGGTGGCAAAGGCAAAGTCTACCCACATGGTGTTATGCAACCACCAAAACGAAAAAAAAAAAAAAAAAAACCAACAAACCACGCCATGCTTCTTAGGAGCTTTTAATGCAGGAAATAATACTGGTAAAATGTTTTTTAAAGGGGTGGTAGAAAGTCATTTATTATATAATGTGGTTTCAGCTGTGTAAAAGTGTGCCAGGAAAAACCTGGAAGGAAATATAGCAGCATAATAAAATTTGTTTCTTCGTGGGAGCGAGCACTGGTTATCTTCTTTACAGTTTTCTGCACTTCCCCAGTTTTCTCCAATGAGCACACATTAGAGAAACATATTTTCCCTTATAATAAACAGATGGGGAAGAGGAGATGCTTGGTTATAATGGAGATAACTAGGCTCCTGTCTAAAATTTATTTCTTAACGTCCAACACAACACAACAAAACTGTACTACAGCTCTGACTTACTCACTTCGAGCTCATTCTTTTAGGTTGTGATTTTCTTCAAGGAAGCCCTGTTCACTTAAGTGGCCATAACATCCCATCAGGGGTACTTTAGCCAATTCCTCTGTTCTATATGTAGGGCAACAATGAACTTTAAAAACAAAACAACTGGGCTTGGGATTCAAGATGACTTTACCTACTACAACATAAATCAAGATTTTCCCCAAGGTAGTCACTTAAGGATGCCATTTGTTTGTCTACTGGAACTGCCAATTCTCAAAACATTCTGGGAGCATTTTGTGCACTGCTCAGGAAAATCACTCCACCACTTCAGCCGCTCCCTATTTTTGGCCCAAAATGGTTTTCCCAGTGGCACCTCATTTACCTGACTTGACTTCAAGTGGCTCTGGGCCTCTCCTAGGAAACCAAATTTACTCAAAGAATAAAGAGTCCCAACCAGAGGGAATATTTAAATTTTAAAAATGTGCCACAGACTTTGTAAAACAATTCTGAAATGCAAGTTTTCCACCCATATTTTGAATAATAATTCTTATCAATAACTGACTGACCCCCACCCCCTAAATAACTGTTCTGAGTGGGCCAATGTTTCTGGGGGGAGGAAAAGGCATCCATTAGGGATTGATGAGAAAGAAACTATAGAGTTAGACTGATTTTATATTCTAGTAAAAACTAAGAGAAGCCTTATTAGAAGGCAAAGATTTTCAAGTACAACAGAGAGACAGAAGCCGACAGTAGCTGCTTTGATGCTCTGTGGGGACAGAACCCCTGTGGCTCTTTCCAGGAGAACAATGTCCATGAACGATAAGGCTCCACCACCTTCTCTCTCCGTCTGCTTTGTTCACCATTTGTTCACGCGGGCTTCACATCAGAATCACCCGGGGAGATTTAAGAACAATACCAGTTGGCTGGCAACCTCAGGACAACGGAATCTGAGTTTTGGCGGGTAGAGCCTGGGCACATACATATGTGGAGTGTGTGTGCTGCATATTCCTTCTTTTCCCTCCTTCCTACTCTCCTCCCTCCCTCTCAACCATCCCTCTGGTCCCCCGCTGATTTGGACGTGCTAAAACACAGACAGGGCGAGTCCCAAAGACAGCTAGCGCAGGTGAGGATCGCGGCCTCTGTCCGCAGCCTATCTCGGCTCACAAAAGGAGCTTCCAAACCACTCATTCCATTTGTCATCTCACACCATGATTCATAAAAACAAACAGTAAGGGACAGAGCTTGGTTCCTACATATAATTTTAGAAGATGTTTTCTAAGGGGGGGATAAGAAGCATGCAGTGTCAACTGACCACATACATGATGCAAACACCTGTCAAGGCACAAATGATGAAACCACGTCAGAGCCCGGCCACTGGCGGTGAGCTGTACACTTCTTTCCCACTGTGCATCACCTTCGCGATACCTACTTTTGTGCTGGCCTGTTGATGTGAGAGATAAAGACCACATACCGGCAGTATCTTGGGCTGTCACATCCACGCCATGTGTAACCATGACCCTGAGGCACTCCACGTGTCCTTTTGTAGCAGCAAGATGGAAACTGGAAAAGAGGTAAACAAGCTCCTTAAGATTTCCGTTCTTTCGACTTCATCTCCAGCAATGCTTTTTGCCATCTCATGTACACTTACTTTCGCTCACTTGAGCTCCATAACCACCCAGTGAGTAGGTATTATTATCAACCTCATTTTAATGGTGAGGAAACTGAGGCTCCAAGTAGTCTGATAATTTATTCATGGATGCTTTTTATTAAGTAATGTAACAGAAGCTAGGTCTCAGGTCTCCCAATCCAAAGACCAGGGTTGGTAAAAAGTAAGAATCAACTATATATGTGTCTTTTCACAAAACAATACTCTAAAAGTTCCAACTAGATTCATTTCCTAAATAATCAGTGTTTTAATCAATTTTTTCTGTTGCCTTAATGCTTTCACTGAAGTTATTATTTTAAAGTAATATACTCTATTAAAAAAAAGAAAAGAAAAAACCTGTCTAACCTAAACAACCGTCAAGGCTCCTAGACATCAATGCCCTATCCATCGCTGTGTTGTAGCTAAGTAATAACTGTTGTACACAACTTCTGTACTGTGCGCCAAGCATCTCATTACCCACTTTTATACAATACATTACATCTCTTTTCATTCACGTAATAGCCTTCTGAGGTGAGTCCTATCACTGTCTCCATAGATGGCAGGTACAAATAGCATTACAGAAAGCCCACAATTAGGCTCCAGACCTCAATGACATTTGGGAGTACGGGACATGCTCAGTGTGTTTAAATTTGCCATTAGAAGAAGAAATGACACCCAAATGCCTCACCAATCATGCCTGCAGGTCCCAAGGGCAAAGGGCACTGCTATAGGCAGAAGGAAAGCACAGTCACCCTAAGCACTCAGGCCCAGAGGCTGAGAGGGCCAAAGCCCGAGGGAAGGTCTCCACCCTGGAGAGGTCAGTGAACCTGCCAGCTACCTACCTGCCTCAGTTCTGTCTTAGGGAGTTGTCTTCTTGGGCTACTCGCCACCCAGCACCTTACTGTCTGTACCTCTGAGTTATGGCCCAGCCAGTGTTTTTTCACAGGAGACTGTCGCTGGGGCCCAGGATCACACCCACATAGCAAATCCAAGAGGAAAACCGATTCAAACCCAAGTCAGCGTGATCCCACACCTCTGCTCTGGAGACGGAGGCTGCGTGAACGCGGACAGATCAGCACATGGAGATACCCTACGTTGGCAAGGCACCTCTGGGTAGTCAGTTTCGCCCCTCTGAGGCTGAATTTCCTGTGCTGCCAAGTGGGGGGACTGAACGAGATGGTGTCCGAGGCCCCCTGCAGCTCCAGCAGTCTATTACTTTAGCCTCCCCGGCTCGGATCACACCAGCTATTTGTGCTTTTGTGCAGCCATTAATGCTTAATGCATCTCTACCGTCACAATCCACTTTGCAGATGATTTCATATTACCGTGAAACTTTGATCCTATGCAAAGACTTGGGAATGCGGTGACTTATTTAAATGGAATCCTGATTAAACACAGCCTAACCAAAAGACCCTCCCTAAAGGGCAGTACGATGACACCTCTGTTTTTCATCATTGTCGGAGTAACACAATTTTACAACAAGTTCACCTTTAAGCAGCAAATTGTTTAACTGATCTTGGGGAAAGGTTTCTAAAATTTCCCCATCCTTAGCAACAGTATACATTACCTAATTTTATTGCTCTTGAGGACATGAAGTCACCAGGAAACGTCTCAATTACTCAAATCTGTTTTCAAGGCCATTCATCTAAATGCTCCAGATTATTAAAGCCTCATATTCATTAATATGTACCTTCTTCTCTTCCTGACAATGTGTTGGCTCCTACCCCGTTCACTTTGCTATCTTCGATGACCAGGGGAGGAACCAAAACTATCTGGACAGGAGGGCGGCCACATCCTATGTTAATAAGCAAGTACCAGGGTTAATACTGTTGCTTGTAACATAGCAAATGGATATAATTATCAGGATTAGTGATTAGCATGTACACACACACAAACACGTTAAAAACACACAGGCAGAAGCAGGTTTACAGTTCTCAGTAGCGGAGGCACAGAGTTCATTTTTGTATTATTGTTTATTAATTGTTTATTATTTTTCACAGGAACAGTAAACCTACTTTTGTCCTACCCTGTGTAACTTTTGACTGAAGTATAACATGTGCAGAGAAAACCATATATCATAATTGTATAGCCTGCTAAGTAAATTTCCACAAACAGAACACGCTCATTTTACCTTCATGCTAATAAAGAAACAGATGCGGCTAGAGACCAAATGCCCTCCTCTGCTGCTTGTACCCAGAACCCCTCCATGTGCCCTGTTAGTCACTGACCCCCCCCACCCCAGCAGTATTTGTATTTTTCCTATTCCGAGACCTCTCAGATTACCTCTGGATTGCAGGCGATATAGGAGGTTAAAATTGCAGACACATGTGGCAATGAAGCATCATTATAGGCTGTTTCTGTACGTTGATAAATGCGGTCTGATGTGGTGTCTGTGGACGATTTGGGAGTTGCAGGGTTTCAGGATAATTATGTGGAAGGCCAGTAATGATTACAAGGCAAGAAAAGTGTAGTGTTAGGAAGCTGGACTCAGTATCCAACCCTATAATGAGAACTTTCTTAGACATTGCACTTCAAAATGGAATCCTCGTTATCAGCATAAATCGACCTGCCTTTGATGGCTCTTAATGCATTTTACTGAGGGACCCAGTTACTTACGGTTTCACTGTACATGCTTTAATAAATGGTGTGTACACATGCAAGTGTGCGTGTGTGTGTGTGTGTGTATGTGAGAGAGAGAGAGACAGAGAGAGAGGGATTTTGTTTTGTCCTGCCTCTCTCATTAGAACTTGGTTCAGAAAATGACTTATTTCCTCTATTCTGGGGACGCTCCAGCTATAAGAACGCTCTTGCAGAATATTGAATCCTGCTGAGAAAATAAAGTAATGATAGTCCTTTCTGAATTCATAATTTTCTCACATATTTTATCAAAAACTTCAGCAGTCACTAGGCTTACAGATAAAATGCACAAAATACCAACAAGTATAATTAAAAATAGCTGATTATATAAGGACAGATAGTTGTGCTTCTAATTTTAACACTGCTTAATCTAATATTTTTAGTTGATGTGACCCAGTTAAATATATCATTATTTCAAGGTGTTCTTCAAATAAGACTCTAACTTCCAGGCACTGGTCGTGTTCCTATGTCATCCGAAACTGTGGCTCTCCTTTCTAAAACACACATTTATCTCCTTTCTAAAACACATGAGTACGGGGTAAGCCTAAAAAGCAGGAAAGGGAAGAGCTGGTCATTTTAGCCAGAAGTTTCTGATTTATTTTTCCAGACAAGGAACTCACTACGCCTCATCGTCCCTTCCCCCTGAGCGTGCATTTCTGGGAAAGGGGCGCACAGCCAAGAAACATGGTACTGGAGCTGGCTCCCGGGAATCTTGGCCAAGGCTGTGCTTTCTGCCTGCCCTCCTGGCCTTACCCTCCACCTTCATCTCTGGGGCCTGTGGCCCAGGGGGCAGGCCTCCCTCTAATGGACCGCACCCGATGGGCTGCCTAGTCCTTCGGCTTCTGGCTGGGTTCAACCAATGGGAGACACAAGAGACAGGAGGGTGGGATACGTGTTCTGGGTATGATCCGCACCCCCGCACGCCAACCCCACCCCCCTGCTGGCAGCGGCCGCATCTGCTCCACAGCGCAGTGTGTGAACCCAGGAGCCCACTCTCCCTGGGCGGGTGTGGCCCCGCTGCACTGTCAGGTGGGAAGAGGCTCCCACTGTTGGCTTCCTGGGCAGCCTTCCCAGCCAGGTTCAAGCCCACCATTAGGCTCCTGTGGATCTAGTATTTGTTAAATATTTATAAAGGCAAAGCCAGGCTTTGAGAAAAATGGGCCAACTGCTCATTCAATAGAGTTGATTATTTACAATACTTGGGCATTTTAGTTAAACTGCTTTGATGGGAGAATGTGCCGTATGACTTTAATGACAATGTATGGAATATCGATTATGAGTGATTTCAAAAAAGGTTTCTGATATAGTCTTAGGCCAAAAGAGGAACCAATTAAAAAGGTTCAAGAATACATCTCTCCAAGCACAAGAAAAACCACTGACTTAAATGACAGCACTCAGTTTAGAATGTTCTACTATGTGATAAAGATGATAAAATTCAGATTTTAGACTGTCAATTTGGTCTTGAAAGAATAACCAACACCCCATCCACAACACACATGTGGAGACACTGGGAGACCCTATGTAAGTTCTATCAGCATATCCCGTGGAATAACAAGGGTTCTTGGGTAATGAATTAGAATAGATGGTTTAAGTAAAATCTTCTATACCATATACTGCATTATATATTCTATCTATAAATGTGTATATATACAACTCCATAAAGCACATACTATGTATAATACTCCACAATATATTCCACCATAACAAATCTATAGGCAAGGTTTAGAAAGAGAAAATACAGAATAAGAAAGAGTAACTATTAAGACATATAGTTATTTTAGTATCTACTAATCACTCTGATTAACTCCTTAAAATATCCTATCATTTACCTAATAATACATCATTGCCATAAAATTTTAGTCCAAAAATCACCCCTATGTTCACTGCAGCTTCATTTACAATATCCAAGATATGGAAGCAGCCCAAGTGCCCTTTAGTAGATGAGCGAATTTTAAAAAAAAGGAAAAAAAAAGCTGTGGTACATCAAAAATGATTTTAGTACTGACCGTGGAACATAGTGTTTACAACCTCAGTTTGCTAAATAAACTGCCACTTAGAAGAGAACCAAAACGGTCAGTGTACTGATTTAGCTTTGTCTTAAGGCTTTTTTCTTCTTCTTCTTAAAATTTGTATCAAGTTTATTGGGGTGACATTGCTTAATAAAATTATATAGGTTTCAGGTTTGCAATGCTATAATATAGCATCTGTATATTGTATTGTGTGCTCACTCCCGAAGTCAAGTTTCCTTCCATCTCCATTTATCCCCTGTGAACCCTCT